TCCAGCCAAAGGACAGGAATACCACAGACATCCAACCTGTCAGACTATCATACAAGAGCAGAGTAACCCCCACTGCAGATATGACGGATCAAGTTTTATTTCGCTTTTTTATGGGTAAGGGAAGAGGGAAGAGTGATATGCTTGGGCTTAAGCACCGGGACAACAGGAGATCCAGGCGCACACAGCCAATCTCTGAGACACAATGGCCTCTTGTGGTGGACAGGATTTAGAGCACTATGCTGTATTATATTTTGGTTTTAGCAGTAAGCCACCACTGAAAATCATTTTTGATGCAACATTTCCAATGAACTATGTCAGACTTATTTGTAGTTCTGTGTTTTAATTATGTAATTTTTTGTAGTTGTCTGGAGCTTGAAGTACTTCTGTCCTGTGACCAAAAATGTGATGTCAACTAAAAGAGCATACTACAGGCCCCAATCTAGACCAGACGAAGAAAAACATTGGCAAGATACAACCTTTGATTTACAGCTTGTTTTAAGAGCAGTCACCTGCAGTAAACAGGCAGCAGGGTGGTGCAACCAACATTCTACAAAGGAATCCAAGTTGTTGAAGCTGATCAATAAGCTGACAGGTGGTCCTTTAGCAGCAGTGGTCACAGCTCACTGTCCTGACAGCTATAGCAACACTGACCCATTTACTCTTTGATATGTAGGAATCACAACAAATGCCCAAACTATATTGGAGACATGTAAAAGTTTTTTTTCCCCCAATATTATTTCTGCAGATCAACTTGAGATGTATCACATGTAATTATAAGGGGTTATAATTAAGAGGGGTTATGTTGGGAACAGCTAATACCTAAAGGCAAATGATTTGTCTTTTGAAATTTTTAAACTACTTGGGGGTGTACCTTAGGCTGCATGATCAAATATAGTGCAACTATATTGCTTTTTTTATTATTACATTTATTTAATAGTTTAGTTATGATATCAAGCCAAATCTGTGATATGGGTGAAAGGTGGGCGCTGGTTTGCTTGTATGATGACAGAGCATGTTCAAATCACTCACCATGGATTGTATGATTAGTTAATTTACAGTAATAACTCTATTTTCAGATATTTTATTGTGGTACAGTCCTGGGCAGCTAAAGTCAACTCTAGTGCACTGTAAGAGTAAAGATGCCCAAAATGTGTAATGACAAAAAGTGTTCTTTACATTTTACTTCATCCTATTCTATATGGCAATGTTTTGTTGTTCTTTTTATGTATGTATATATTTATAATGTTAAAGTTCTTAAAGAGTTTCTTGCACCTGTTTGGCTGAGGAAAACGTGACTACACTGGCCCCTGTTGCTCCACAATGTCTTCCCAAATTAGGAGTTTGCCTTGTGGAAGTTTTCGCATTTCCAGTCAGCTGCTGCTAAAAACTGCCCAAACCTTTTCATTGATGGTGACAACACTCACCAATATCTGACAAAAGCACTATTTGTGGTGGCACAGTAAAATTTATATCCAAATTGTGTTAAAATAAATGGTTTTAAACAGTGGAATGTTATGTAAAGAACACTGAAACAATATTGCTCTATTTACAACCTGGGCCTCTACTGTCTCATGTACAGAGCTAGCTGAGCAGCACAGGCTGCATCACTTCTTCTTCATCTCAGCTGTTGTACCTCAGAGATTTGGGGCTGTGGTGGGGTCGGCCTGTCAGTCTCTCCTTCACAGCAGAGCACTGACATTTAACTCAATATCCCAGTAGGATAGAGTTACTCCTGTTATGCCTGCATCTTTTGCTTCTATATATTGGTGAAGTTTCAGTAGCATGTGTGTGGGACCACTACTACAACTAAAGCCCTTGAAGAGGGGACCCCCATCACCTCCAACCCCAGTGTGGCGCTAGCATGCCCCACCCTCGTGCCAGACTCCCTCCTCAGCCTGCAAACCCAATCCCTGTTCCCAGCTCTGCACAAGTGTTAAGTACCAAGGGGCTGCAGCTGTACGCACTGCTATCTTATGCAACTAAGTCTGTCTGCTGACTCGCACGGCAGAAGCAAAGTGAGAGGGACAGGGTAACATTTGTCACTAAAAGCTCTCATTTAGTTTGAAACTCTGTATCCAAATGCTAATTGTGTCATTAATAGGGTGACCAGACTTTTAAAATGAAAAACTGGGACACATCCGGGTTGGAATGGTTGGTGTAAATAAAATAGTGAAAACAACGCATAACACTGTCCATTCTTGGCTCAGTCAGAGAAACTTCTGTCAGTGCATTTTTTGCGTTTTGTATGGTAATTTCCAAGCACAGTATTTAGCAAATAAATAAATACATACATAAAAAGGCAATATATTACCCTCTTTATTGTTGGCGGGTACTAAATTCATCAAAAATGGGGAAACCTGGGATATTCCTTGTATAAAACTGGGAGAAATCACTGTGTTTATATAAATTTGCAGGGACAGGGGACATGGCGCTCAACACGGGGATTGTCCTGCATAAATAGGGATGTCTGGTCTCCCTAGTCATTAACAATTAAGTTTTTTGCACAGAAAAAAGTACTAAATTCAATATTACACACAAAGCTTTTAAAAATAAGTCTGGTGATGAAAAAAGTTCATGGAATCAGATAACTGTGGTATAATACAATAAATGATACACAATAGACAGTAAAGTGCATATATAATTACTCTTAGTACTCATTGATGTGCTGTCTATAAGTTACTGGAAAAGACGAGATGACAGGACTGACAGTGAAGACATAATTATAGTGAGCAATAAGGTAGTGGATAAAGCAGGTCCAACGCTGGTGTTAGCGGGGTACTTGTTACAGTATTAGCTAATAGTAATAATAGAAGTGGCAGCTGAGTCTCTGAATCCAGAATTCCTCTTGGTCTATAAATAGAGCAGGTGACACTGTGCTGCAGGGTATGGCACCACGACAGCTTTGCAGCTTTTTAATTTCAGAATGCTACTCCTGGGTTGAGGCGCATAGTGGGGTTTTCCTCTTCTTCACATCTATTGGAGGGTGCATTTAACAGCATCGTGCCATTGGAAAAGGTGTGGACCAATAGGCCCAGAGTTTCCTGGTTGTTCACACCATTCTTTACACTTACACATTTAAGCCACAGGGGAGCCTCAGGAAAGTGAGCCGCTTGGTTAAATGTGGCGTTCCCAGTACCTACAAAGAGTCATTCACTTGGCTGCATGTGCATATGACAGGGCAAATATGTACTGCTAATAATCATCAAGAGGCCAAGAAGTTTGCACTTGTGTCTTATATAATAAATGTGTCCTTATTTAGTTGGTTAAAATGCATGTTACAGGTTAGACTAAGTATTTCCATATACCTAACAAATATATTAACAAGGGCCAAACATTGTCTAAATTGCACAATAGTACAAATTAATACAAATAAATGACAACTATACTTTGTTAACTGAAGGTCTAGATTACTCAAAAAATGTGTCTTGCTCATGCCCCTTCATTTTAGAAGTAATTATGTCTTAGAACTCACTGCCTCTTCCTGTATTTTGTACTTTTCTTCTCAACATTTTCTACAAACTGCCACTTATTTCATGTAAAAAAAAAAAAAAAAAAGTATTTACAACAGGGACTTTCCCACCAAACCAAGTAATAATTAGAAAAATGTTAAAGCCTGCCACATGCATTAAATAGGCTTAGTGATAAAATACCACCAAAAATAAAATTTAGTTTTATTTCTGACAAAACCTCATTTGCAATGTGTTCAACAAAACATCGAGGGCGACATGCTAATTTGGCAGGTCAATGTGTAATATTGAGTTTTCTTCACAATGAGTTTTTCCTTCCTATTTAAAGTGATGCAGAGTATACTTGATACTTCAAGAACAAGGTCACATTGAGTTCTCAAGACACACCAGGCTACAGAAAATTTAGAAACTTAATCCTGAAGAAGCTCCATGTTGAGAATCTGAGACTCCAAGTGACAAATAGCGTTATGAGCAAAGCTGCTATTAAGATGACTGCGGGCCCTCACATAAAACAGCTGAAATCAAGCCATGTAATATGCTACATGTGACCTTCATCAGAGTGTAAAACAAAACAAACTAACAAAAAAACTAAACAAAACAAAAAAATAAAATAATAAAATAAAAAATCAATATTCAACTGATTTAAAAAAAAATCTAAAATATCAATCAGGCTAACCGTGGTGCAGTGAAATACCAACAGCAGGCTGAGGGGAGTAGTGTCTTGAATATAGACGACAGGAAGATGAATGAATGTGAAGACCTGGAGAAATGCCTAAGAAAGAAACTGGATACTTTTTTGACAAATATAGAATAGACCACACCAAAGGGGGATCAATTTTACAGCTCAGCTTTTGTGAACACATATTGAATATTGTACATTGTGACCTAATTTTTATTTACACACTACACGAAGGAATTGCTTTAAACTATTTTGTGTTACATATTGCAGCCTGACCTGCCCTCTTCTCTAGTACTAGAGCACTATAATTTAGTTGGTGGGAAAGGGGTCAGGCATCTACAAGAGCTCAACAGCACCTCCCAGTGGTTGACAAACTCAGCAACAGGGTAGGCTACTTGTGATGATGGGTTTTCATTTTATACTAAGACTAGATTAAATAAATATATATGTAATAAATATAATTATTTTGTTAATGTTTTAGTCTGCTTGCTTTTCAAGTTGGCTTTAAACAGGTACAAAGAAATTGTACAGTTTAAAAATAAATTCCACAGATTTCACTCAGATTTGAAACAATAAATTACAGTTTTAATTTCCTCCACCCTCCCTAAGACCAAGCTCTCTATATGTATTTTTAAGAGTTCTGCTGAACAATTTGTTCATACCCCCCCCCAAAAAGTATACAACAGTCCAATTTATATTAAACATGGCTCCATCTGTGAGTTACCTCCAAAAATATGCACAAATCTACAATCCCCTTTCCCTTGCTGTTTTTAGATGGCGAAACATTGAATTTTCAAAAATTAATTTTCCATTCATAATATGTTGATTTGATGTTTGATTAAAAATACTAGACATCACTTGATTCTCGCTTTATTGGTCAACTTGATGAAAGACTACAAAACGAATTCACAAAAAATCTCTTTCAAGTAATCAAATCTGTACAAACCTAAACTGTATGTTTTAACAGCTCTGGCTCATATGAATCTGAAGTGTAGTGTACATGTGTGTGGGGGCACAGGTCTGTCCTCTGTGGGACTAGATTGGGCAAAAACTGAGCATGCCCCCAGTGCACACATGCACACTCGTGTTAGAGATTTTACAGTACAGAGGACAGGGAAAACAAAAGACTTCCCCTCCTTTATTACACTCACACATTCTGCAGGCAGGTTTTCAATCTCCCAATGTTTCTCAAAGCCTGCCTTTCAGTCACAATTACTACACAGACGCATGTGGTTTCAGCCTTTCCACAGGAAGAGTGGTATAACAGGGAAAGTATAAATTCTCTAATGCTCTCACACAAAATGTACATGTGCACACATGATTTGTAAGCTCACTGGCAGACCACTGTTATCTGCACGCGCACACACTCACATTCAGACCACTTGTAACATTACATGTTTTAAGAAGTACAGATAAAAAAGAAAAAGCCCTGGGTATAGGTTTGATTTCTGGCTGTTTGGTGAAAAAAGGAGATAGAGGTAGAGAGGACAAGAGGGATGGGTCAAGGTTGTGGGCAAACTACTGGTGTCATTTCTTAGCTTTCCTTGGAGGAGTGACTGGGCGCCCAGAGCCCATGCCTCCACCACTCCCATAGAACAGCTTTTTGTCTGCAGGTTTAAGAATCTGCAAGAGGAAGTGCAAAGCAAAGTTTAGCTTCAAAAACATTTTAACATTTTAATCAATGCAATGAAAATGTCAAGAAATAAAGAACAGGTTTTTACTTACCTGGAATGAGCACATGAGTGTCTCATCTACACTCATCATGGCCCCTGCGTTGTCAAACTCTCCGCAGTAGTTTGGGGCAGAGAACAGCGTCACCAGCTGCCTCTTTGCAAAGAATTCATATCCGTCCTCAACAACCTGAAATGACAAGTTCACAAATTGTCAATTACAACTGAACAGTAAAATCATTCAATATATGTTACATAAACATTAAGTTTTCTAAAATAAAAGATCACAGCATGCTAGAACTACATCATCACCGTAATTGTCAACAGTAGCATGGGCTCTTGAAGTGACAAAACTGATACTTTGAGATATATACATTATGATGCTTGCCAGGATCATTATTTTGAGGTAACTATTTCAGTAATAGAATTTTATTTCCTGGAGAAATATTTATGTCTTTTATTTTGTGGAAGCCTGAAGTAAGTAAAATATTAATTAAATAAACAATATCTTGAACAACCTCCCTATCTGTTCATTAGAGAGAACTAACTGTGCTGAAGTGGAAAAAGTATTTTCAGATGTTGATGAAAGATGCTACAGAAAATATCCTGTGAATTCTTATGGATGCTGATCCTGGCAATACCTCAAGTGCTTATTAAAAACCTCGACTTCATCACTGAGGGTAAACAAAAGGTGTATAGTGGTTTTAAACTGCATACTATATGCAAATGTCATAGCAAAGTCCATCCTGGACTTACCTGATGAGCCCGGCAGATGAGGTCCATGTCGTGTTTGTGGAGGAACTTTGTGACGACATCAGCTCCAAAAGTGAAGGATACTCCGCGATCGTTCTCGCCCCAGCCCAGAACATCTTTGTCTGGATCGGCCCAGAGCAGGTCACACAGCAGGCCTTGGTCAGGCACATCGGTGGGACGCATGACTCTCCGCACCTGCTCCATAGACTGAAGATCAGGGGACAGGCCTGCAGAAAATAAGATTAAAAACTCAACTACAACATCAGTGTTTTGGGAGCATGTTTTGTAAGTGATATACTGCAGTCCATTGTTGCAAGTAGTTTGAATAATGTGTTGGAAACTTTAGAACAACAACACTATTTCTAATGCCACTAACAAGATTCCTACAGCAGGATAATCCCAAACCTTTCTCTAAATCAAATCACATACAAAAAAAAAATGGCATAATGAATGAAAATAGATAAATATGAATATAAAATTAAATCTGACAAACACGTGCACTTGAGTAGAAGCCAAATGAGTCAGTTAATGAAATACCTCCATGGCAGCAGAAGATCTTCTCATCAACAATGGCCGCTACAGGCAAACAGTTGAAGCAGTCAGTGAAGGTCTTCCACAGCTTTATGTTATATCGCCTCTTACCTGTTCAAGAGGAGATACTTTGTTACAATCTTATCTCAAAACCATAAAAACCTCAGCTGCTGGCTCAACAAACAGCACTTTACATAACATGGTTCTTGAAATAGCTTGGAAAGGCACAACAGCACATACTGTCTGATCACACTTGTTAGCCTCCAGCCCAATGTGCTGATTTACAGTTAAGCACTATTGTAGCTTTCCTCACCACTGGGCATTAGGTTACTCAACAGCTGATCGTTGAGTACATGCTTTCATTTAGGCAACAAAATTAACAGTTGATGCAACTCAAGGGTTAGGGTGTGTTTAGGGCTGACAGTAGTGTTTGGTGCAATGCCTAGTAATTTTTGTCATCAGACATATCGTATATGTAAATTAGGCCTTAAGAACTTACATTCATCATAGAACCCATATATTCTGTTGATAGATGCGCATTCATGGTTCCCTCTGAGCAGGAAAAAGTTCTCAGGGTATTTGATCTTGTAAGCCAACAACAGGCAGATAGTCTCCAGGGACTGCTTGCCTCTGTCTACATAGTCACCAAGAAACAGGTAGTTGCTCTCAGGTGGAAAGCCCCCATATTCAAAGAGCCTAAGCAGATCATAGTACTGCCCATGAACATCACCTGTAGAAACAAACAGCATTAGAGAAGCTATATCTAGGTACCGGTGTGGTTCATAAATGATGCCAATATTGTGTAAGCGTATGTACACAACAAAGGAAAAGGATGAAGATGGAGGCACAACATCAGCTGACAGGATGAAATTCACACAGTAGTAAGAAGAAAAATACAACAACTTGTTCTCACCACAAATCTTCAAAGGAGCCTCAAGTTCAAGCAGGATTGGCTGACTGAGGAAGATTTCTCTGGATTTGAGACACAGTCCTCGAATTTCATTTTCTGTCAACTGAACATTTTTTCCAGGTCTTGAGCCTTTAACTGAGTGGGAAAAAACAGAGGGTTAGTTCCAAAAAGCATTACATAAAATACAATTTTTGATACATTACAGTAATAAGAATAAGTTTAAGGGAAAAGTAAGAATACATGAAAACTGAAATTAAACAACTGAGAACATCTTAGTATTTTAATTCAGTTATTACATATTATTGCAGGGAATTAGATACAAATTGAATGAAAATCACACTGACAAAAAGTGAAACTTCTGATGAACGGGTATTGTTTATTCATTATCAATTGCATTTTCAATTACCAAACAATTAAGGTGACGTAAAGTGGGTGATCATGGGTTTTGGTGAGAAAAGTGAGGTGCAGGGTTTATTGTTGATAGCAGTATTCCCTGTAGTCCGCTAGTGAAGTTAGCATAAATGGCTAACGTTACCTTGGTAAATAATGAGCTGAAATGCTTACCTTCCAACAGACGCTGTATAATGGAGTCGATGTTTAGTTTATCAGCTTCTGCCATGCTATTGTTGTAATCGTTTTTACGAGATTTTTAAAGAATAAACTCAACTATTACGTTCCGTGTTGCCGTTCAACTAGTTAGTGCGTTAATCGGCTATCGATGGTCAGCTAGCTAGCTAACCTTGGGACAAAAATGGCAACCTCAAAACTGAGGCTGGGTCAAGGACTGTTAAATGTTTGTTGACTAACATGTACTTAAAAATGTCACTAATCGACTAGACCAATGCTGAAAGCTACAACTCTCGAAACCAAACGATTTCTTGTACCAAATCGGTGTCTGCGTAGCAACTAGCACCACGCCATCGACAAAAAGAACCTAGCTTCAGCAACGGTTAGCGGCTGCTCTCACTCGTTTGCAAGCTCTCATTGGCCGTTTCGGTCGATAGGCGTGTTCCTCTGAGCATTACTCTCGCCACTGATTGGACATTTTGAGCGCCTGTCAGGATTTGCTTTTAAATGTAGTAAACAGGATTTTATCTTTATATTTTATCCATGTGATATGCAGTCATTAATATTGTCCTATATAGCGTGCCGTAGCTAAGTTATTTGTGTTTAAGGCACAGCATTTGCTTGTGTTTTATCCATTTTTATCTGTTGTTTGTTGCGCAGTTGAGCTACTCCCCGGAAGTGACCAAACAAAATGAACCGTGGACGTTTTTGGTATGACGCAATGTCGTACAGGCTGGCAGCAGTGTGATTCATTCTGAAGTTTGTAGATGGCATGGCTATTTTGCTAGTTTATTGAAACAAACATGGCAGATATACGGATTTTCGGTGATCATTCTGATTTATGATAGTTGCTGCAATAACATTCGACCATGAAGTTGATCCATAAAGACATTGAAAAAGATAATGCCGGGTGAGTCACTGTGTTGTGCCGATGCTAACTGGCTAAACAGCATGTCCCGTGTTGATAACTGTTTTGTGTCCATATGTGGATTTACCAGACTTTGCGTTTACGTTAAAATGACTTTTAAAAATGCCTGTAACAGCAGTAGAAGTCATTATTATGCAAGTAACGTTAGTATGTATATGTACAGTATCTGCTACTCACCTTACAAACGATATTAAAAGGTCCTGCTAGCTCTAATTTGACTCATAGTATGCTTTTCCAGTCAGGTCACATTGGTGCCTGAGGAGGCTGAGGATATGTGGCACACTTACAACTTGTTACAAGTTGGTGACAGCTTGAGAGCATCCACTATCCGGTAACTACATTGTGACAAATTTTACCAGTCTGCTGCTTTACTTAACAATGGCTCTTGACAACAAAACAAATACTGTATATTTTTCAGAAAGGTTCAGACTGAGTCTACAACTGGGAGTGTGGGCAGTTCCAGAGTAAGAACCACTTTGACTTTATGTGTAGAGACAATTGACTTTGACTCTCAAGCCTGCCAGCTTCGAGTAAAAGGAACCAACTTAGAGGAAAATCAGTACGTCAAGGTGCAATACAAGGACATTATTTAAATTTTATTTCACCGTTACACAATAACAAATTTAAAATTGTGTGTTTTTTTGGCCATCTCTTTCTTGTTCTGTAGATGGGGGCTTACCACACAATTGAACTTGAGCTCAACAGGAAGTTCACTCTTGCCAAAAAAAACTGGGATAGTATTGACCTTGATCGAATTGGTAAATCATATTTTAAGTCTTCTCGTACTGCAAGCTATCAGCAATCCCTTTTGAACATCTTCCCTTGTCTCTAGATCAGGCTTGCGATGTGGCACAGAAGGCAGATGTGGCAGCTGTTGTGATGCAAGAGGGTCTTGCAAACCTTGTCCTGGTGACGCCGGCCATGACTCTGCTCAGAGCTAAAGTGGAGCTCACTATTCCACGCAAAAGGAGGGGCAGCTGCACTCAACATGAGAAGGTATTCTGTTTTAAACAAAACTGTCTTTCACACAGTCACAGTAGAATATTAACATGCTGTCATCTGTATAGGCACTTGAGAGATTTTATGAGGCAGTGATGCAGGCAATTCTTCGCCACATCAATTTTGATGGTGAGCTGTTATTTTATGGTCATTAGCCATTCTTGGAGTCAGATGAATTTGATTATATTTTTTACTCCATACACAGTGGTGAAGTGCATCCTTGTGGGTAGTCCTGGGTTTGTGAAAGACCAGTTTATCACATATCTCTTCAAAGAGGCAGTTCGACAAGACGTTAAGATTCTACTCGAAAACAGGCCAAAATTCATGCTGGTCCATGCTTCATCGGGACATAAGTATTCTCTCAAAGGTCTGAGCTGTTCTGAGATAAAAGAAACATGCGTTTTATTATTTGTGCTTGTGCTAAATGTTCTGCTTTTCCCCAGAAATTCTTTCTGATCCTGCTGTAACAAGTAGACTGTCAGATACAAAAGTAATCCAGATCTAGTAATTTATTCTTTTAGTGAAGGAAGTGTATTTACTGATGTTAATGTCTCCTATAACAGGCTGCTGGAGAAGTGAAGGCCCTGGAGGACTTCTACAAAATGCTTCAACATGAACCAGACAGAGCATTTTATGGGTAAGTGATGCGCAACAGTAAAGTTTGTTCTTTTTCTAAAGTATCAATAAAACTGTCATATTTAAACTATGCTGACAGTGTGGCTCATGTTGAGAGAGCGGCAGACGCATTGGCAATAGATACCCTGCTGATAAGTGATAAGCTGTTCAGGTATGTAAAGATCATTATTACATAATTTGCTAAAATCCATAAATGTTTTCTGTGTTTTTTTTTTTATTTTGTTTTAAGATGGGTCTACAATTAGGTTTTTTGGTTTTTTTTTCATGCTTGAGCAGACATCAGGAGATTGCAACAAGGAGTCGTTATGTGCGACTAGTGGACAGTGTGAGGGACAATGGTGGAAATGTCAGGTAAGTGAAATTGTAACTGAATTTTTAAAATTTGTTTGTAAAATTATATATATATTTTCTGACAGTAGGGATGAAAATCGGTTCAACCTAAAACCAAGTCCAGTCTTCTTTTTGAATTATTTAGTTAACATGTAGATTGTTTATGTTACTACAGAAAATAATGTTTGCGTGTGTAACACTTGCGTTTTGTGATCATGCAGAATATTTTCAAGCCTTCATGTGTCTGGTGAACGTAAGTAAAAATTATGTGCATTTCAAGATAAGTTGTTATTCTTGAGCAACTTTTTTGTCCTAACTGTCCTAACTTCATCTTAACTGTCTTCGCTTACAGAACTGACTCAGTTGAGTGGAGTAGCAGCCATCTTGCGATTTCCCATTGCAGATCTTTCTGAGCCTGAGGATGACAGCAGTTCTGATGACGACTAAGAACAAAAACTAGAGGGGACAGTACAGACAAGAAAAAACTATAATGATCAAAGTAGTTTGATGCAAAATACTAAAGCAACAGAGAAATGGCCAAAAGTATTTTGCACTATGTCCCTTGTCTTAATGCCACACCATGTATTAATTTTTCATGCAGGTTTTGGTTTTGGTGTTCACCGTCTACATAAAACACGCCTCATTTAGTAAAAACAATGTAAATATACTGTACCATTTGACCCTAAATCAATTAAATCACAAAAGTTTTCAACCAGCTTTTTTATTCTTCTTTTAGTCTTAATGCTTAACAATTAAATACAAGAAAATATGCGAAATATAAAAATATATTTTAATAAATATTGTATCTTAAATAACATTTATAAACCTATTTTGGTCATGGGCTTTTTCTGACCCAAAACTACTGCATTTGAATAAACTAAGTCAAGTATTATCAGGATATGTTTTTGAAATCCCCCAACTTCATTCCTTCCTAGTTCCCTGGCAAAATATAGTAGCAGAAACTTATCATGTCCACTGTTACATTCATTGTCGTTTTCTATTTAAAAAGATTTATCATACATTAGTATAGTATGCACTTAGCTTTACTCAGTAGGACACTGGTAGCTCTTAATCCAGGCTAAATCTTCAAGTGTGCCCCAGTGAAGGTAAATGATAGAACATATGACCATGACGTGCATTATCTGGTGACTGTTGCCCCAGTTATCAAACAGGCCTGGGCTGAAGCGTTCTGGGATCTGAATAATATTGACCACACCTCCTAGCACAGCCAAGGAGTCCATGATCACAAAGAGGCGCATAGAGTTAGGGCTGCCCACACCACTGCCGTACACCCGAAACAAAAAGAGGCCAAAGCGGAACAGGGCCTGCCATACAAAGGCCTTGAGGCGCAAGACATTGGTGCGTGCAGTAGTGGCACAGTAGATCCCATAAGCAGACAGTAAGATGTAGATCAAGAGGGCGGCCTGCTGCAGGCGGGGGTAGCAAAGGAGAGTGATGTGGATGATGGGAAGTGCACCTGATGACCAAAAGAAATAAATATATTAGCAAGTACATTAACAAACATTAAAGTATGTTGACCCTATAATGCATTTATTATAATCATATTTAGTATGATGATAAATATATTTGAATTATGCATGCTAGCTACACTGAACAAGGAATCATGATCTGTGACAGTCCCCTCAGCTGTTTTTTTCATCAAAGTGGAACAAAACAATCCAGTTTAAGCATAGGGGCACAATAACATGTACTTGTTTTTCAAGGGAGCACCACTTATTTTCTAATTTACCATCGTAGTAAAGTTGTGTAGTCTAGACTCGTCAAGCAGTCGTGCCATCCCATTTTTATAATAATGTATTACAACCTGGAGAATTATTTTATTGAGATCACTCTGGTTTATAGTTGTATTCTTTCCATGTTTCAAGGTGATGTAACTTTCTTTACTATCCTTGCCTAAAGCTTGTGTCAAACAGACCTACCCAGTGTATTCACCAAGCAGACCCCAAACATGTCCAGGGAAAGAAGAGTGTCATACACCTGCTCTCCCCCAATGTGGTTCATGAACACATGGTACAGCACTGAGCCAATGGTGGGGCTGAGGCAGGCCAGATAGTGCGCTACACACAGCCAGGTGCAGTCCACCTCCATCCAGGGAATACTGAATGGCAGCAGCACCAAGAACAGGAAGAATGGGATACCTGTACACCAAAAAACAAATTATTTAAAGTAGATGCAGGTGCCAAATGCTTCCATCCCTCTCTTCCCCTTAGTAATGGTGTTAACCTTAATCAACTTGTGCTAGAATGCATAATGGACTAATCACCTTTGTAAAGTTCAAGGCTGTGCAGGTTCCAAGTAGCACATGTAACACATTGTCTGCTTATGAATGCCCACAAAAAAATTACCTGTATGTGCATAAAAAACAACCTTCATATTGTTTAATTTTGTAGCATGACAGGCATGTTTGCATGTAGATGAAAAGTGTCAGTGAAGCTTGTTAAAGACCCAGCTAAGAGGGGGATATTTAGAGGAGGAGGATTCCCAGGGCAGATTACAGCTAATGCCCCATATCCTCATTATACTCTGGGGCAGGTATGCTGTTGGTAAGTGGCTAAGTGAGAGTCTTTTAAGTTTTGTGTTTTATCATAACTAGTAGGGCTGTAATAATATCCAAATGTCACAGCATGGCATTATCACAGTATTAATCCATTGGCTTGTTTACTAATGTGTGGAGAAGTAACAAGTAATATTTATGATTTTTTCCTCTGTAAACTTTGATCTGTTGTTGTGTATTGTGATACAAATTACCATGTTATACTTCTGTTGTACTTCTATACTTCTGATAAGTTTACACTATATGTGTTTTGAAACCATGTCGTCATAAGAGCGTCTGGAGTTAAAAAAGGAGTGTATCTCACATACCATGGGTGTAAATGTTCCCCAGCTCATTGTGCATGTAGAAGAGGCTCCTGAGACATTCCTGTGCAGTGGACACTGGCCGGTAACCCGTCAACACGAACTTGTTGAACTGAAGATGAGTGGGAGTTTTGGCCAACTCCAAGAGCCGTGGTCCTTTGTAAAGCATGACTTTGTCTTCCCCCCTTTGCAGTGACAAGCTGAGGTCCATAAGATCACATCCTCCAAAAGGAAGCACTCATGACTGTACATACAATCATGACTATTGCAGATTCCTGTACCATAGAGGCATCCCTGGACAGGTATAGTTCAGAGTAGACCACCTCTGTTGAGCTGGCTAAGTGGCATGCTTTCAGAAGGGCCAATCAGCATGGGGCTCTTACACTCAGGGATAATGCTGGGTAATCCTCACAAGCAGCCGCGTGCACATGTCATGACGTGCTGTAACTGACCCTAACCCTTAACTTCATGGTCAAGTTTTAAGCATACTGTATTTTCTTAAAATTACAACTACACTCCATGTATTTTCCATGACTTTTGAGCATAAAACAAATGCACAAAAAGCAACAGAAATAAGTGAGCAATAGTTGTTCTGAACTAGGGAGGTATTTATTTGTATCAATAAAACTGTACAGTATTACACAGAATGCCAGGGGATTTTGAAATCTCACATGTAAAATAAATTAGACTTGAACCTGTTGTATAAAACAATTGACCACAATTAACAAATATTTTCCATGTACACTGAAACATTAAGTGCAAGACAATAGAAATTTAGAAATATACATTGAACTCTGAAAACAGACTTAAAATGTTTTAAACTTTTGATTTATACAAAACAAGCTCAACACAAACAATATTTTTTTTTTTTTACAAACTCAGGAACATGACATTTCAGATGTTAACCTGGAAAAAGAGAGAAAACATTTTATTGCTATGATATGGTTATTAAAAGGGTTCAGTTCATAGATTTATACCTTTGTAGCCACTGTTTCCATTCGCATTCCCAAAAAAGCCATTCAGATCATATTTGCCATCATTTCCCCCTGAAAGAAAAAAACACTGACTTGAGTGTCACATTGTTACCAGATATTACCAAATGTTTAGTCATCTGATAACCATAGAGTACCTGACCATACATTTCTTGGTGTAACTCTCTATCACAAACTTTGTTGGGAACCTGACATTGATAAAATTAAAACTAAAATAGCAAATGTTATAGCCTTGATGAACAAATCTAAAATTCTCCTAAATAAAAAAGCCCTGTATACAATCTACTGTACTCTTATTTAAGTTACTGTGTAGAGGTCTGGGGAAATTCTTATGAAAGTAACACAGACTTATTGTTTAAATTACAAAGAAAAAGCAATACGAATAACTCACTTGGTCGGATATAGAGAACATACAAATGCATTTTTTTGCCAAAGATACTGAAAGTTGGGGACCTGGTAAAATTTAAAACATGGCAAATCTTATTTAAAGTGAAACTCAACATGCTCCCAGATAACATTCAAAACTGTTCTACACTAATGAATTCAAATACAACCTGACAGGTCAAATGAATTTTAAAAAACAATTCACTCCAACCACTCTCAAAGAAAAAAAAATCCTTACATTCTTCATTCTCATTTTGCTTATTTTGATACGACCATAAACAATAAACTTCGTGCCTTCTTTATCATTATTAGTAGTTTGTACAACCATAATACAGTACAATCCAAACAAAATGTGTTTAAAATTATATATAATTATATATTATATATATTATATGCATAGTACATAATTTATTTTGCTATATGTAAATATTTGTAAAGTTTTGTCATCAATATACAGCAACCATTTATTTTATTTTATTTTTTTGAAACTATGTACTGAATAGGGGTGTGTTAGTCTAAGTTTTTTTCTTCTTTCCACTCCTTTTCAAGAAATGTGCTTTTCTGTTGTTTATAATGTATATGTAGTATGTATATGATTATTGTTTCTCTCAAATCTTCATCTCTTACCTTGTGGGTGGAAATGCAGTTTGAGTTGCTGTTGGATGTGAATCTGTTGTGGCATTTGCTGCACATCATCAGTTTGCTCCAGTCCCTGAGAGGCAACCTGGGACTCTGTGACAGGAGCAGAATCAACAGTGTCTTTAGCCCCTCCATAAGCAGTGACAGCAGCGTCTACAGGCAGGTAGGACACAGCAGAGGGGTAGGGCACAGAGGGCTGAGAGGTGGGAGCAGCAGGGAGCGCAACTACTATAGGCAGCAGAATAGAGCTTGTTATTGCTTAAGCTTCAGGCAGCTCATTTATATTGCATTTTATAGATTTTACCTTCTGGCTGCACTTGTCCACTAATGTAGCCCACATTATCTGAAAAAATAGTCAGTTACACAATTGAAAACTAATGTTTAGCAGTGATAGAAGTGTGTGCACCTACCAAATCTGTCCACGGAGGCTCCTTCTACTGCAGCAGCTGGGGTTGGGCTTTCTCCTTTTACTGTGTGTGTGTGTATATGTATATATATATATATATATATATATATATATATATATATATATATATATATATATATATATATATATAATATATATATATATATATAAATATAAAATAAAATAAAAAATGAACATGATTAGGATTAAGTCCAGAGTTTAAGTCCAGAGTTGTGTGCAATAAAAGCATGTGTATTTTCCAACCGTAGGACTTAGCACCCGTAGCTGATTCAACCGGTAAGGAGTCATAAGGTAGACTAGCTTCCTCTGTTTAAAAAAACAAACTTGAAATTATTCTTTAATTCTGTTTGAATAGACTTCAACAGGAGTAATATGGAAATACCAGATCTGACAGTAGATGTCTCAAGGTGTTGAGATTTATATCCATTCTGGGCCCCTTGAAAGAAATTAATGCAAATTAGAACCAAAATAAAATTAGCATGACTTGCAATAAAAACAGTTTTGTACCATATTTCCCTGAAGACTTTGCAACACCTCCAGCTCCAAAGGCTTGCGGTGTATATGGTATTTGGCTGCCACCTAAATCTAAAATCAGCCATTTTTAACAGTTAAATTTGAATTTTGTACAGTGTTTTACTTATTAAAATGTTATTTACTGTCATATTGTCCAGTTGCCTTCCCACTCTGTCCCATAGCTGCAGATTCGGGCTGATAGGCTGAGCCTGTCAATATTCACATCGTTTACACATGTCTTCACCTGTTCACACTACACTATATACTAGAAAAAAATGATTTACCATGTTTGCTTGTAGATTTGACTTTGGGATTCTGTCTAGCAGTTTGGATTTCATAAGGCATTCTGCCATAGCCTGTAGAGAAATATACCATCTCATGTCCTACATGAATATTAATGCAAGAGTAACCAAAGTATTACAGACCATATTTGCCAGGTGTGTTAGCGGCATTGCCGAGGTTCAGATGCTGTTGTCCATTGGCTGATCCTTTAAGACCAGAGAGATGTGTTACTTACAGCATAAAGAAAACAAAATGAACTCACTAAATACATTTACCATATTTTCCAGACTTTCCTCTGGTGGCTGGTCCATATGAGCCACCACTGGCACTACCTATGAGCAGCAAAGCACACTGTCTGTTACACACATAGAATTAAAGTAAATTCCTTTAAATGTAAAGAACAAACCATATTTTCCAGCTCCATTAGCAGCTGAAGGATTGCCCCCAAACTGCAAGCCACCAATTCCTGCACAAAATTATAAAAATTAGCCAATAGTTGAGTTATGGGGGGAACGCCAGTAGGATTGCTCACAAGTTCCACTATATGCACCCAAATCGCCTACTGTTTTAAAAATCAGATTTAAAACTATATGATCTGATAAACTGGAAAACAGCTCACATAATATTCAGGGCTTCTATTAACTGTTCTAGCTAATTTATATAATCAATTTCAAAATCAGGATTGAATTGGAGTATGGGGTCCAGGGCTCTTTGCTAAGGGCTGTCCGGTCCCTGTATGACTGGAGCAGGACTTGTGTTCGCATTGCCGGCAGTAAGTCAGACCTGTTCCTTATGCATGTTGGACTCCGCCAGGGCCGCCCCTGTCACCGGTTCTGTTCATTGTATTTATGGACAGAATTTCCAGGCACAGTCAGGGGCCAGAGGGGGTCCGGTTTGGGGACCACAGGATCTCATCTCTGCTGTTTGCAGATGATGTTGTCCTGTTGGCTTCATCAGGCCAGGACCTGCAATGTGCACTGGGGTGGTTTGCAGTCGCGTGTGAAGCGGCTGAGATGAGAATCAACTCTTCCACGTGCGAGGCCGTGGTTCTCAACCGGAAAAAGGTGGCTTGCCCTCTCCGGGTGGGTGGAAAGTCTCTACCTCAAGTGGAGGAGTTCAAGTATCTCGGGGTCTTGTTCACGAGTGAGGGGAGGATGGAGCGTGAGATTGACAGGCGGATCGGTGCAGCGTCTGCAGTGATGCGGTCGCTGTATCGGACCGTTGTGATGAAGAGGGAGCTGAGTCGAAAGGCGAAGCTCTCGATTTACCGGTCAATCTCTGTTCCTACTCTCACCTATGGTCATGAGCTCTGGGTAATGACCGAAAGGACAAGATCGCGGATACAAGCGCTCGAAATGAGTTTCCTCCGGAGGGTGGCTGGGCGCTCCCTTAGAGATAGGGTGAGGAGCTCAGTCATACGGGAGGAGGTCGGAGTAGAGCCGCTGCTCCTTCACTTCAAGAGGAACCAGTTGAGGTGGCTCAGGCATCTGTTCCGGATGCCTCCTGGGTGCCTCCCTCGGGAGGTGTTCCGGGCATGTCCCACCGGGACTATGTCTCTCTGCTGGCTTGGGAACGCCTCTGGGTCCCCCTGGAGGAACTGGAGGACGTGTCTGGGGTGAAGGAAGTCTGGGAGTCCCTGCTTAGACTGCTGCCCCCATGACCCAGCCCCGGATAAGCGGAAGAAAATGGATGGATGGAATTTCAAAATCAAGATGCTCATCATAACTATGAACTTACAGGTAATAAAAAGTTATATCAACCTAAATTCAGAACTACTTTAAAATCAATATTCATCTCAGTGCATGAAGTTAGTCTATGGAATAGGTTAAAATAAGACATTTCTGGGGACTTGGTTCAGCTTAAATAGGTATTTAAAAGAGAAATGAGGAGGAAAATACTTGGAGAAGTGAGTGATGCCCTCAGAGCACAAAGCTTAATGTTAGAGGAGGGGAGATGTAGAGTCAGAGTGTGCTGGGCCACTGTCTTGTCTGGATGAGTGTCTGAATGTATTTTGTCTGTCATGTATTAGTATTGTAGAATTGAATTGTTGAAGTGTTGTTGTGTGCATGTGCTTGTGCGTGTTTGAAGTGTGGGAGGAGACTGGAAATGTAAAAGTTTTGCTTCATCCATCCCTTTTCAAAGCATGCATGTGTGTATTTGTGTCTGATTGATTGATTGCATTTATATAGCGCCTTTCACGATACCCAAAGCGCTTTACAGTTAATTATTCAGTCACTCCACACTCAGTGGTGATAAGCTACTGTTGTAGCCACAGCTGCCCTGGGGCAGACTGATGGAAGTGAGGCTGCCAATCTGCGCCATCGGCCCCTCCGACCACCACCATCACTCACGCACACACCACTTTCATACTAGGCAATGTGGGTGAAGTGTCTTGCCTAAGGACACAACGAGTTTTTTGCCACTGGCGCCCCACTGTGGCACCTGGAATTCCTAGTGGTCTCCCATCCAAGTACTACCCAGCCTGCTTAGCTTCTGAGATCTGACAGGATCAGGCTTTGACAAGTTATCTTGCTTTTAACAAGTTATCTTGTTATGTAATGTGCAGGTTTGAAATAAATATTCACACTATAGGATAATGGCAGATGTGATGAAACATTTATAATTTAGGATCATTTTTTTGTAGAATAGTGTACTCACCAAATTTGGGGTTTTGGGGCAAACCACCCATTCCTAAAATGGAAACAATATTTCCACTGAACTGTTTTAAAAATTACAGTAAATTATTCACCATAACATTAGTTAGTACTTACCACCGTATGCACTGCCTACTTTTCCATAACCTGCAGCTTGGGGTTGAAATCTGTTTATTCCTGAAGGAAAACCAGTTATATCTCTCATAATCACATTACACACATTACAGATAATTAATCCAAATATATTATACCATCAATTCCACCAGGAACCAGCAATTCTCCAGTATATGGGCTGGGTTTAGACGCCATACCAGACTTGCCTTGAACAGAAGGAACACCTTGGCCTTGAAGACCTTTAAAAAATTAAAGATTAATTTATTCATATTATAACCTGCATAAAATGAAAAACTTGAAACCTAAACTTACTTGCATAATCAGGCTGTACCCCACCAACATTTCCTGAGGAAAAAATAACAAAGAATGCAATCAGCTATTTGCAAAATTTACGTTTGCCTGATTAGACTATACACCTGTAACTACCTGATTGAGACTTTCCAGCATCACCTGTGGAAAACATATGATTTATTTATATATATATATATATATATATATATATATATATATATATATATATATATATATATATATATATATATATATATATATATATATATATAGTTTATATATATGATAATGTAGTCACAAGAGAATTGGGTAAAAACACATATTACTACCATATCCAGCCCCAAGATAAGATCCCTGACCATATCCTGGAAACACAAATAAATTTAGGACAACCTCATTTATTTATATACAATTATTCGACAAATAAATTACCAGGTTTCCCTCCATATGGATAACCAAGACCTGCAGGAACACTTATTAGTGTGTTTCAAAAACTTACATAAAAAACTTGCATAAAATATATATATATATATATATAAAATATATATAAAATTCTTCCCAGAATAACTTATTAAATCATACCAGCTCCAAATCCATTGTTCTGTCCAGTACCAGCATAAGCCCTTGTACCCTGGCCTGTGGAGGACGAAGAAAGACATGAAATCAAGATTTACAATTAAAACCACTGAACGTTTCGTTCACTTACTTGGTGTGGCTCCTCCATTTGAATAGCCTCCAGCAGCTGCTCCAAACCCTGTAAATAAAATAAAATAAAAATCACAGTGTGTTCTTAAAGCAACATGCACAACATCATTGATACCAACCATTTGTTTTGGAGCTGTATCCACTAGGACCAGCAACACCTGCTCCATAACCTACAGGTGACAGTTATGCATTATAACTGTATAAGTATTAAAGCAAAAGCCAAAACACCTTTGGCGTACCTTTGGTGTGTGGTGAGGATCCAGCTCCCGCATAAGTGCCATATTCTGAGATTACAGAGAAAAAACATTATTGATATTGTCATTATTTTGTATCATTTTTGAACCAGTTTTAGTGCCTCCCATTTACCAGGTCTGGGTATTTTCATCCACTGTCCGTTGGGAACACCTGAGGGCCCACAGTCTGACAAAAAACATTAACTATTAGCACACAGTCAAAATATTGATAAAGCAGAGTGGGCAGCTGCCTGTTTAAAAGCTCAAACACATACTATCAACACAAGATTGAAATTATTACAACACAAATGACTAATGAGGACATGCATAACCCCTGAAAAACTTAGTAAATGGTCCCCAGGCATTCCAGACACTTGTATTAGGTGCCTTTCTCGGCAAAACTGTGTGTCCTAGGAATATACTCGGACAACTTTACAATCAGCTCTAAAAGTAAGACTCTGATCAACTTTGGCCTCCTGCAGGCCAGGAGGATGGTTGCTTTGTCATGGAAAGGGACTGACGTTTCTTCTGAACAGTTCTGGATAAGAGAAATGACTTTGTGAGTTACACTGGAAAAGCTGACCTATATCATTAGATGTAAAGCACAAGAATTTGAAGAAGTATGGACACCCTTAATGGTCTTTCTCAGGAAACTAGGAAAGAGTGTGACAATTATTATTATTACCTCCGCCGAGGAGGTTATGTTTTTGCCGGCGTTTGTTTGTTTGTTTGTTTGTCTGTTAGCAACATAACTCAAAAAGTTATGGACCGATTTTGATGAAATTTTCAGGATTTGTTGGAAATGTGAAAAGGAAGAACTCATTTCATTTTGGGGGTGATCCGGAAGAAATCCTGGATTCTGGATCACTTTGAAATTTTAGTTAACATTGTGGTAAATGGGGCCAAAAATTTTGTTTCTCAATATCTCGGTTAATTATTGACCAAACCCCATGAAATTTGACTCAGGGATGGACAATGGGATCCTCTTTCATATTCCAAATTGAAAGATACGAGACAAATATTTATGGAAAACACAATTAATATGAGGGGGACTGTAGTCCTTGGCGGAGGTCTGCGCTCTCTGAGTGCTTTTCTAGTTCTTTATTTATTTATTCTTTTATTACTTTATTTTTGTTATTTTTTTTACTTTAAAATTCAATAATAACAATAATAACAATAACAATAACAATAATAATAATATGTTATTATTATTATTATTTCTTAATATTTTATGTTTATATGCGTGTGTGTGTGTGTGTGTGTGTATGTGTAGTGTGTGTGTGTGTATGTGTAGGTGTGTGTGTATGTATGTATATATATATATATATATATATATATATATATATATATATATATATATATATATATATATAGACACATATATACCACTTGCTGTACAATTATAAATCTCTCAATTGAAAACCCATAAAAAACACTGTAAAAACAAAAACTATTAGCACACAATCAGTGCAACTCAGATATAAAATATAATCCAGAGGTATACCAGGTGGCACTGCTCCTTGCCCTTTTGTTGTCATTCCTCCAGCTCCTGAAATTTAAGAACACATTTAGGATTAAAATGTTTAAGTGACTTGAGAGGCCAAGGTCAGTGGATTAAAAATCACACCATGCGTAACATGCTCCATTAAGTAAACTCCCAAGAGCACAGAGACAGATTTTTGATCTATATATAATAAAAACGGCTTTAGTCTATAAAACAGCATTCCAGTTTGTTTGCATCTGATCCATATCTAATTACCAATTTTAAACTGCACAACTCAGACAAAAGCTCTCCTAATGCAGGCAACAGCATGCAACACAATGGCAATACAAAGTCACCACAACAAGACCCATAGAGACTTCAGTCTAATGTTATTATCAGGAGACAGATATCTGCATGCACATCCAGCCTCAGTAGAAAACACACCAAATCATAAAACAGGTTTACCAGAAGACCCAGCACCCTTGAGCCCACTGCCACTGGGGGCAGCCTGAGGACTCTGTTCTGTCTCCTCTGGGATGGTCCCGGACTGGACCTCAGGGCTCAGACCTGCACCTGCAGCTGCCTCTAAGTCCAGATCACTTTTAGTTTGCAGTGACTTGGGGCTTTTAGGCTCCCCTCCGTCTGGGTTAAGCCCCAAAACAAAATCTGTCTCCACAACACTCTGCTCAGGCACTTCACTTCCCGTCACATAACCTAGAGGCCATACATTCAACAGTTTGACATGTGTTTGTTAGAAGCACTGACAGGATTTCCCACTGTGAGTAGTCCTAATCACCAGTATTATGAACAGCCCAGTACTTGCCTTGTGGAAGCACAGCAGATGGTTGGAGTGCGCCACTGCTCTGGGTCACTGCAGCCCCAGATACTTTGGAGCTCTTTCCCCCTGAGCCCATGAGCGCAGGGAGAGGTGTGGGGCCAGCCGCTGTGGACTCCAGGCTGTACTGAGGTCCCAGAGCAGGCCCGGCTGTGGCCTGGGGGCTGAAGACCTTTCCCTGCAGCTTCTGGTACTGGTCTGGGGTCCCCCTTCCCTGTAGGGCACCAGTGGACTCTGGGCCCACTGGTGCACCACCCTGAGACAGGGACAGTTGAGGGACAAAGCCCTGAGGAGCATAGCCCTGAGGAGCATAACCCTGAGGTGGAGCAGCAGTCGGCTGAGCAGCAGAGAGAAGTCCTTTCAGGCCCGGTCCCCCGAGGGCACCTACAGAGTTTGACTTTCCACTCGATATACCATATCCTGGTCACACAGATATATTTGTTAAGGATTTACAATACAGTTTGCAGATTAAATGTGCAAATATTACCAGCATTCCCAGCTCCTGCAGACTGTCCTGGAACCCCGTAACCTAAAACAGAGGATCAAATAAATGTTATCTTCTTCTTCTCAAAAAAAAAAAAAAAAAGACAAAAAAAAACACACACATAAAAAACAGACACACAAAGCTATATGGATCCATTTTTACTGGATTCATATAAAATGTACCGTTGAGTTTATTTCCATAACCTCCAAGAGCAGCTCCACTTGCTCTTTGACCTAAAGAATAAATGATTATGGAAGTTATGGAGGCATGTTTTGAAGAATAATGACAATACCAAAACCAATAATACCATTATTTTTTGCTCCATTTCCTTTAGTGGCACCTGCTCCAGCTGCAGCTGATCCATAGCCTAAAAAGAAATCTGAATATTTGTATAGTGTCTTAAAGAATCTCACTGAGACTCTGGACTGACCTTTGGTCTGGCCTCCAAATGCTCCCATTCCTGCTCCGTTTGTGTAGCCTGAAGATCAAAACTCACCATTAGAGTTTCATTTTAATTTTATAGTGGAAAATTAAATGTAATACCTGGCTGAGGTTTCATGGATCCTGCTCCATTTGTGTAGCCTGAATGTTAAAAATCACCGTTAGGCTAGGATGTTCATAACACTGAAACATTAAATGTAGCTTAATACCTGGCTGAGGTTTCATGGATCCTGCTCCATTTGTATAGCCTGAAGATCAAAAATTACCATTAGTGTTTCATGTTAATTTTATTGTGGAAAATTAAATGTAATACCTGGTTGAGGTCTAATTATTCCTGCTCTATTCATATTATATCCTGTCAATAATTCCAGTACAATAGTAAATACCGGAATATTTAGATGTAATATGAATTACATAATAACACTGAGTGATAACACACCATTTGGTTTTGCTCCATAACCATTACCACCATATCCTGGAAATGAATATAGTAGATACATTATAGATGTAATCAAAGAAACAAGTGTTGTTCCAGTTAGAAAGGACTAACCTGGTTTTGCTGGTTTGTTAGCTCCACCCATGCCATATCCATAACCTTAACATAAACCACACAACTGTGATGTGCATGATACAAGTCAATAATAAGGACCTGATATTTCAAAAGTAACCAACCATTTGACATGGCTCCGTTCACAATAGGGCCTCGTGTTCCTGCAAATATTTACATTTCAGAAGTCAATCCTCTGTAGCTGCAGCATTTTATGAGATATTAGAATCAAGAATCAATCAAATAAAACAAATAAGAATCAAGTCTAACCGCCACCATGTTTGGTTGCTTGCTCATTTGCTCCACCAGCTACGTCACCATATCCTGATCATAACATTGAAAAGTGTAAAATCACATCAATACAAAGGTTTACACATTTTGCATATGAGAGCTGACCTGGCTTGGGTCCCTTCATCCCTCCATTTCCATAACGTGATCCCAAACCAGAACCAGCGCCAGCGCCAGCACCCAAACCACCATTGGGCCTGTATCCTTCAGGAGAATACAGAAGTGAGAATCTGGTGGTAAAACATAAAAATCACTAAAAAATGCACAACTCACCTCCCATGTTCTTGGCTCCATATCCATTACTGCCATAGGCTAAGATCAAATGTACAGTTCATTATATTGTACTTCTTAGTAATTGGGTATTGAGTGCCTGTGTGTACCTGTGCCCTGATGTCCCGCCTGTGCTGGTCCCATCCCTCTGAAGGCTCCCATTCCAGTGCCTGAAGTGACAAAGCATCCCTAGTAAAACACACTCAAATAATATAGGCCCAATCAGAGATTTGGTTTAACAAACTGCACCATATGGTGGCCTTCCATATCCCTTCATTGGTTTGGCTCCAGCTTGGCCTATGATCCATAACCATACCGATAACAATTTTTATTTCAGCACAGAGTCAGCTAGCCAAAAGTGGCATAAAATGTCTAATGATCAATTGAGTTAGGTATTTAAAAGTTTTACCATGGAGTCCTGCCCCATTAGAAGGCCTTCTGGCAGGGCCATTTATGGCTTTCTGTCCTGGAACAACATGCAATCCATTTTATTTACAAATTATTTGATTTAATTTGATTTTTTTTATCATTTCTCACTATAATAAGCTTCAACCAACAACAATAGAAAGTCTTTACCACTTTTTGTTCCATATCCATTCTGTGCTCCTTGATAAGCAGTGTTACCTGCAAACACATTTAAATGAGAAAATCATGAAATAGTTGTTCACTGAAAAATTTTATTCTTTAGACCATACCATTTCCTTTATTTGCTGGTCCACCCTGTGTGATGCCTGCCAGAGAATTGTAACCTGCAAAAACACCATCCTATAGAAATATACTAAATGTGAATATTTGTCATCTGTTGCTGTGTTACCCTGTGGTTTGCCTCTATGTCCATTAAAAACACCAGCTGCAGCTCCATATCCTGAAAAGTAAAACATTAAAATTATTGAGTAATATAGACCTCTTTAGACCACTGATCATTGAGACAACCTTTCATGGCTGCTCCACCTTGTGTTCTAGCAGCAGCACCATAACCTGCCATAAAAGCATGTTTAGTTTTGTATAAAACAGACCACATTTGACACATATGAAGCTACAGACCATTATATTTTGCTCCATTTGTGCTTGAAATCCCAGTGGCTGCTCCTCCATAACCTGACGATCACCCAGTGACAAGTGATATTTTCATTCAGCTATGTTAGTAAGATAACAGAGATGTACTCACCTAGTCCTTTGGTTGGATATCCCCCAAATCCATTTTGTACACCCATCACTTGACCCACTCCTAGTGAAATAAAGAGTGGAAAGGATTTATTAAGTCAGATATAGACAATATCAAAACAATCATGTCACATGGGTCTAAAGTACCTTTTGAAGGCATTGCTCCACCATTCTGTGGATACCTTCCTAAAAAAAAAAAACATCCAAAATTAACCTTTACTTTGATCAACAATCGCAATGTTAGAATAAAGTTTACCATTATTCTGTGGCCCCTGTGTATTCACTCCAGACACTGCACCAAAACCTTAGATAAAACAAATCATCACATCCATTTTAACTGTCATATTGTTTTAAATTTAATATCTGCCAGTTGCTATGCACAAACATTTTCAGGAAGCCCTGTGCTTCAAACAGTCAATGAAGAGTCTGTGCTGTAGTAGTAAAACCATTCAAATTCCCCTCACATTGAGCTGTTACATTTAGACTAGTGCTGCCACTCGGGCTCAGCTGCCTTTGATTTCCACAAGTGAGGCTTCTGGTAAAGACAAAGTAGGAAATATGAGTGCTTCACATACACCCAACAGCTCCATAACCAGCGTTGCTAAGGTTTCCGTTTAACATCATCCTTTAAAATTCGGCAGGCAAACCCGAGCATCTAAGCACCACCTTTCATTCAAGTTGAGGGTAAAACTACATTTCTCCACCATAGCCTCATAGTGTGTAGTCATCTGTCACCATGCTGTGTCTACATCAAATACTATTAAAACATCACATTCAGTTACTGCATTTTAATATCCAAATTATAAAAAACAATTTTAGGTCTTTTAGGCCTTTCAACAGCAGGATATTTTTAACTTAAAATAAAGTATTTTTCGGGCTATTAGGCGCTCTGGATTATAAGGCGCGCTGTCACAGAATGGTCTATTTTCTAACTTTTTTCACAAATAAACCGCACCGGACTTTAAACGAAACCCAACAGTTCGATGGGTCAGTCGGACTTTGTCTGGCGCGTTCACGGTGACTCTCGGCTTTGTTCAATTGTGGCGCATAAGGAGGGCGCTGTCTGGGACAGCTGAATTTTTGGCGTGTTTGCAGTGACTCAGTTGCTCAGTTGTGTCTAGAAGTGGCACATTGCACTCGCTTTTTCGGTTCGTTCCTCGTCCGCGTGGAGCGATGAGTGTGCTGCAGGTGTTTTTCTCTGTGCGGTCACTGTCTGCTCCATGCGTGTTTGTGTGCTCAGCGGGTGGTGCGGCTTTGTAGTTTACTGAAGTCGTGCTTGGACACCCGAGTGGATTTTTGTATAGGGCGCTCTGGATTGCGGGCGCGCAACCGTTTTTTGATGGGATTGGAGGCTTAAAAGCGCGTTTAATAGCCCGGAGAATACAGTATTCAATTTAAATTCCAGTGGATATAGATTCAGATGTTTCTGCTTTACAATTAAACCCCCTCCCATAAATATTTCCACTCAGTTCAAGTCGTCATAAATGTGCAACAAAAAATAATAAAGTAAATTATGTACTTTAACTTTGGCACTTTTTATTTTTGCTCAAACTTCATTTAATCACACTAAATAAAACAAAAAGCAGCACATCATTAACCACAATCAGTGTCAGTTTCCTTGGTTATCTTCTAATTACCAGTACACTCCCCCTGTAAAATTCTCCTTATGCTTTTCCTACAAAAATTTAATAATATGGAAGGAACACTTACCCCTTGTGCGCGCTGTCTGCACCAGCCAAAAAACCACCACACTCTGTAGCAGTGTATGTCCCCACATCTTGAAGCTAAAAAGAAATTAAGAAAATAAATTAAGTTTTGAACCATACAAGAGACACACGGAATGAGACAAATACAATCTGGAGTGGGCAGAAGCCTGTGATGGTTGGGTCCTGATATACAACGGCCTGTCCCCCTTCAGCAGAGGACGCCCAAACCCAGCCCCTCAGATGAGACCAGGTGAACACACACAAACTGAATAATGGGGCACTTAAAGACATTAACACAATGGAGAAAGTGAGAGAAGCAAAGAAAGAGGCTTCACCAATTTGGACAGTGACTAATGAGATTTGGGTTAGTGACACAACCAGCAATAAATAGTTGCAAATAAAGCTGGCCTGTAGCTGTCAAGTCATACAATTTATAAAATGCATCTTAACAACCAAAACAAATTCATTAGAATGTAGATAATAGATAATTCATGTATTTATGTTCAGAAACATTTCCTAATTGTAACTAATTTGAAGTTAACTGTACAGGAAATTAAAGAAAAGTCATCCTTAATTTACCAATGTATCCATTGTCTTTGTCAATACACAAATGCCCACTGTTGACAGTGGGGAATAGCCCTTTGAATTTAAAAAAAAAAGTTTCCAAAAAGAGAACAAAATCTCACCTTTCACATAGATTCCTCACCCGAAGCCCAAATCCTCTTCTTATGGGGTCAAGGAGAGGTTAACGTCCCAGATTTCACATACTTCACTCTATACTGACTGGCATTTCAACTGTTTTAAATACCAGTCATTTCACTTTGAACATTTAAAAGTACTCAAGTCCTTACTGTCCATGGACTATTAATGTGAAAGCAATGTGAGGTGAGATCTGAGCTGATACACAGGGAGTATGCCAACTACAGGAGTGATGGCTGGGTTTTAAAAAGGTGCCAATTTCACTACTGATACAGCCAGTGATTTAAATTCTGTGTGTAGGCCAAGTGTGTACTTGTGTACTGATGAGTATTTATACACTTTTATTTATATTGCAAGTGCTCTACAATGGTGCAATTTAAATAAGCAGTTTCCAAATGAAATAAAAATCTTTACAACTTAAATGTTTAAGAGAGATTTCAAAATACACATTTAGTATTATTACAAAATGTACACATCCTTTTACAAAAACCCAAAACTTCATAGCTGTTATGTGTGGTCCTCATAACAAGTAGTTGTACAATCATATGTTACAACACAGTCCTCAATCTGGTCACCAAAAGCCAAGCTACTGTTTATCAAATAGAAGAACCTTCAAATTGTAAATGAGAGTGGTATTTACATAAATGTTTGGTTAATTTAGCTAATTTACAATGGTTGGGCAGTACTAGCAAATCGCACCCTGTGCTCCCAGACTGCGGTTACAATCTAGAAATCACATACGCTGTACGCAACCTACTGGAGACACAAGAGAGGAAGGTAAAACAATAAGAAAATAAAATGGAAACAGTTAAAGTGATCAAAAAGTGTAGGATTAATGGAAGGGTGGACAAATTAAAGAAAAAAAAAATCTGTAAGATTAAGTTAATATGCGTTAACATTAACATAATGACAACGCCATGCTCAATAGACCTCACGATAACCAGGGAAGCACGTTTTATCGTTCACCTTAAGATGGAAGTGCCAGACATCCTGTGGCAGACCTGAACAAGGAAAAAAAAATAGTTCTGGTTCATTCTGTGTCATTTAGAGGTAAGGATTTTAATACATTTGATTTCCTACCACCCAATTTGTCCAAACTTACTCCATATTACTTTTGAGCTGGTGCACTGTGCGCTTGTCCAGGTAACGGCAAAAAAGTGTGAGTAAGTTTGAAGGCAGGAGCAGAGGCTCAACTAAAGAGCAGTGGGACAGCTGTCCAGCCACCTGGTAAATTGTGTCAGTCCTAAACACAAACATATCAGTCTCATCATCATCATTAAAATTAACCAGATTATAAATCAGTGCTCACCAGGCCTCAAAGTCACCAATACTTGGCTCAAGAGGAACGCCTGAGGACAGCAACTTTTCTCCTTGTGATAGCAGCGCATACAGTAAGGACAAACCAAACTGAAGATGGAGAGGACAAGTTAAAAGTATCCAAGCATTACATTTGTCAATTTTAAAGCTAAAATCATGCAGTTAAAAAGCAGAGACCTTGTTCTGACAGGCCAGAGCAAGACACTCATATGCGGACATGGCCTCTGAAGATGTCAGATCTCTGAGGACCCCGATCAGCTGGGTGAAGGTGAGGCCTCCAATTACATTTCGAAGAGGAGGGTAGAGCACTGGGAGAGACTAACCAAGAGGTTTTTGTAAATGGCCCTTACAAAGGATTAAAACAGGCTTAATGGGCTCCATACACAAGTCTAACTTGTTAATAAAACTAGAGAAAAAAAAAGATGCAGAACCCTTCATTTATAATCTTATATACCTCTTCAGTGTCTCTGTTCATTAGAGTAGGCAGGTTACATGTCACAATCCGCAGGATTCTTAATGAAGGCTCGCGCTTCAGGAATGGTAAAAGGCGAGCTATTAGCTTCTTTCCCTTTGAAATCAGCAGGAAAGGTAGAAATTCCACTGTTGAATTTCTACAAGTAAAACATTTGTTAACATAGTTCATAAATGGCAAATATAAGCCAGGCCTTTTGTGCAAATGTCATTGTTCCACTCACAATGGGTCATGGTGCTGCATCTGAAAGTAGATGTGGTCCACTTTCCTCTGTGTCTTCTCAATCAATCGTCTCTCTTCAGTGTCAGACAGAACAATGGTCTTTGTCCTCTCCGTCTCCTCCACCTCCAGCAACACTATAAACAACTGTACAAATAGAACTATCAATTGCATAAATCCCTTAAACCTATCTACATTGTTCTCTTAATACCTTTTCTATTTTACTAAGGAGTTCGAGCCGCTGTTGCCTGGTGTCTTTGTGTTCCTATAATGTTTAAAAAAAAATTAAATAAATAGATTGAATAAACAAACTGTAATATTTGACATTTTACTATGAAATACCTCGTGCTGACCATACGCTGGTACAGCGTGTACTGCACTAATGGCCCGCCGAGGGGAGTAACATGTGGATACAGCTACTTGACCCAAAGAGCCTTCAATGTGCACCACTGACAAAGAAACACAGAATGAGACAAGTCTAGTGTGAAGCATCAAATCTACAGAGTAAAGTGCCTCAGAAATAGACCTGGTGTATATGCATCAGTCTTTGTGATGTAAGGAGTGGTGAGTTTGGGAGGCTCCTTTTTCCCCCTGATGCCCAGGTCCTCCTCTGCAAGTTTGGCTTCCAAGCGTCGATAATACTCCTTAAAAACATCAATGACATTTTATTACAAATGCTTTAAATACCACTTTAAAACAGGTACTGTGGGGTAAAAAGTTAATGTACTTGGTAGTAGTAATCCTCTAGATAGGGATTCTCACTCTGCAGCTGTATCATCTGTAGTCGAGTGATCCACTCCTTTTCTTTTGCAGTCATTACATTACACCATGGGTCCCAGCCTTCTGATTTTCTGGAAAACAGACAATGACCTTCTATATGCAATCACAAACACAATATAAAAAGATGGCGACACTAACCTCTGGAACATACGCTGCTTTTGAACCAACTGCCGTTTGTGGTGAGGGTGGAGCTGGGTCACAGGATCAGAGTACCTTTTAAGAAATTAGAATCATGTTTTTAAGTAAAATTTTTGAATAAGTATGAACCCTGTGTTCTATTTTATTTAGCAGAACATAGATGAAATGATGATGCTACCTGAACCGCTGCACTGGGTTTGATGACGGGCTGTAAAAAGGGGAGGGTCTCGGTGAATTTGCTCCGAAGCGAAGCTGCATCATCTTTGGAGTGGAAGGACATGGACGGTTTGGAGGAAACATGAACCGATTTGTCTGGGTCAGCAGAATGTGAGGTTAATCTTTGTTGTTAATGTTGATACAAGACAATGTCATTTTAATATGCATAGTACCTGATTGAAATGTTGCCTTGGGGTCAGAGGCTGGCGTGGGAACATGGTTGATCCTGGTAACATAGGAGGAGGAATCTGAAAGACAACAGTAGAACTGATGCATGTATCCCTCTTTTAAATACATATTAATGCCAGTCCAAAAGTTCACCTGAGATGGCTCTCTTTGGCTGAACTGTCTTCTTGCATAGGACCCTCTGGGCTCTCCACTCCTGCCCTTGAAGGATGGGATTGGAGGAGACAGGTCTATAAAGTTAGCATTCAGAGTTTGACCCCTGCCTCTGCGACCATTAATCACACACACTATTGCACTGTCCTAAAGAAAACTAGTGTTAAATAGGTATACTATCAAATGACATGGTTCAAAGCAACTCATTAGAACCTCTAGTATTGACTGTGTCCTCTTGTAAGTTGAACCCATCCACTGAAAGCGTAAAAACAATGAGCAAAAATGAAAAAAAAAAAAAAGACAAGTCTCCAAAGTTTATGCTTACATTTACTTCAAAGGGTTTTCGATATAATGCACTTCCACAGTCCACAATAGCGCTGTCCAAAGTCTACCAAGGCATCACCATGATAAAGATAAAACATAAGGATCAACACATCAACAATTAAGATTTCTTGCAATAACAGGTCAAAAACCACCTTGATACTAGGCCTTCCCTCTACCATCCTCATCACAGCAGGGTCTTCAAACATCTGCCCCCTGCTCAACGTGCCTTGGAGCCCCCTGCCCCTGCTGCGTTGTCCTGGAGGAGCCCGGGACACTGGTCTTCTTGCGGGAGACGGGGAGCAGCGCAGAGATGGAGTTTTCATGTCCAATGGAGGAGGCATTGGCGGTGGAGGAGCAAACTGTAGGAGACTGGTATCTTTATTTTTACCTGGTGTGCCCATGTCTACAGAAGAAAAAAGATGATTGACACACTGCACAATCACTACAACCGTGGATAGTGAATAGTGGTTCACACCCATCCCAAATGTCTCATCATTATAGATGTTGATCTCCTCATCCTCTTCAGCCATGGCTTGGAGCTGACAGTCCATGTTTGGGTCTTCTTCATTGCCACTCCATTCTCCTCCATTTTCAGGCCACTCAGGGTGGGTTGGCTTTTCAGATTCCTGTGAATGCAAAGGGACATGTTTAATAGGTTTTGTATACTGTAAGAAAGTCTGGACATATCATAATTTGTGATACAGATTATGATAAATCCACAACAGATAAATTACTGAGGGAAGAAAAAGAGCTGTTGCATTTGCAGATAGGTTAAGGACACCCGCTTACTTGTTGATGTTCTATATCACTCATTTTGCAATATTTTCGGCGTTTAGACACGTATAACCGTTGTGTCCCGCTGACTTTCTTGCGTTCTCTGGTGTCAAACGGCGGCAGGGCTTGATCAACTTTTAATTGCACTCACCTGTGTCAACCGTGGCACGAGGCATAAGTGCGTCATCACGTATTACGTCAATTAGACTGACACATAAATAAATGCATAAATAAATACATATTGGCTATACTGGCTAAAATAGGATCTTTACTACTTGACAGTTGCTACAAGCTTTGCACTAATCAGCGAACAGCGACCTCTAGTGACGTATAATACTAAGCTGTTGTGACGAAGAATCAGTCCAAAATGAATTCAAACATTGTAGTTATGACACTAAATGCGACATATATGCAAACTACAGAATGAACTAGATAGACAGAGTGAAAAAAAAGTGTTTGTCTTTCTTTTATTATTTCTTTGGCATTATTTTTGGTAAATTTGCACAATGGTAAAAGAATAAAATATCTGACATAATTTGGTCTAACATATAAAACATACACCAATATTACAATGTACAAAAGCAAATGCAGTGACAGAATACATTTTTGCAAAATAAAGCGCATATATTTAAAAAGGGCAAATTATTTGGTTCAAATGAAATTATTTTAAGCTTAAGGGGTTTTTTTGGCATCATGTTAGGGATTTCTTTTAACACTTGCAGTCCTTTACTCATATATTAATAGGCAATTTATATTCAGACACATAACTTCATCCGAAGAGTTTGATGAAGCAGGGATGGCAGTAAGGTTTGCTCTCCTGCTCCTTGAAGCAGCCTTTACTCAGAGGTTTTAGGCAGAAGTGGCAGACGAGGTGATGGGGGTGAAACTTAGCCCCCATCGCAGTGACACAGCGACCCAGGATGGGCTGCTGACAGGCCTGGCACATACTCCCACGCGACTGGTGATAATGGGCTTCACAGAGAGGTTTCCCATCATGTTCAAAAAAGCTCCCATTCACAAAGGGGCTGTAACACTCCTGAAAAATATTTATAAAGAAAGTTGAACACAATTCTGGAATTATTACAATTTAGTCAAAAACACACATGAAACAAGAATGTGGTAAATGATGCATGATTCTTTTAAAAACTTGGCTCAGTGAAAATTAGACTCCAAAATGTGACCAGCCAGGCATAAAAGAGAAGCACTTACTCTACAAACAAAACACTGCGGGTGCCAGAGGGAGTTGAGGGCTGAGATGTAGTTTTCCAGGATGGGTTGGCTGCAGCCTTGACAGCGTGACGCAAACAGAGTCAGAAAGCACTGCTGGCAGTACTGCTGGCCCTCACGGTCATGGAAACCTGCAAGAGTAAAAGACTGCATTAATGTTTGTCTGATTTGATCTTCTTTCCACATGAATCTGCGGCTGCACCGCAGAAGTGTGGGACTGCCCTATTTGTTATGGACAACACTATGAGAGGTAATTAGTATGACATTATCCATTTTAATGGGTGTTTTACACATCAAAGGAACTGTATGCAACCTGTGCTCTTACTGTAAAAACTGACAACCCAAATGAGAGGCTTGCATGAGGCTCACTCTGCTTTCTGATTGGATAATCTTCTTGAGAACCAAAACACCAAATTAAACATTTGGCAATTATAATTTAATTATAATTATAACAACTTGGCAATTATGTCCTATGTTTTTGTGATGAAGAATAAAACAGCATTTGAATTGTGATCAGTAAAAGCTTAATTTGAACATGTTTACCTCATATCTAGGGTCACATATGGGTCAAGTTAATCAAATTGTAAATAATGCATTTCCTTAAAACCAGGTTGTTTTTCTCAAAATAAGCTAAATTAAACATCATTCCAAGGCTCTTTGTGTATTTGGTTAAAGTGATCTTAGACAGGATATGTGCCACCCATTACCTTCCTCTCCAAATGCACGACTGCACTTGACACAGCAGAAACAGTCTGGATGCCAGTTCTTATCCAGGGCAGTGACCATTTTCTGAGAAAATATATTCAAATTATTATTTGTTACAAGACATCAAGCTGTTTGCTCTCTTTACTGGTAGTTGATCTTACATTTAAAATAGGCTTGTTGCACTGTGCACAATGAGGGGAGAAGAGGGTGAAATAGTCTGACTCGCAATATGGCCGACCGTCCTTCTCAAAAAAATTGCGGCTGCCCAATTCAGTCTCACATTCAGTGCAAACAAAGTGCTCTGGGTGCCACACTTTCCCCAGCGCTGTCACTACCTAGGAAGATAAATTAAATATGGAGTTTAAAAACAGATTCATAGTGTAATGGCAATATTGAACATTAATAAGTGTAAGTTAATGCTTACTTGTCCCACAACTGGTTTCTGGCAGGCTGTGCATATCCCTTTGGAGGAGGTCTGAACTCCTTGTCTGGTGAGGTCTGACTGGAGGAGGCCAAGCATGCTGTCCAAGGACCCCTCTGACGACGCCTGAGGTGGGGCGGCAGAGGCGGGTGGAGGAGATGGTGCAGTTACTGGGGTGACTGGAGCAACAGGCTGGAAAAATCATATTATGTTAAAAAGACACTGAGTAAAGCATTGGTTTATCATCCAGACCTCCCCTTATCAGTAACCAAACAGTGGTTCATTAGTTGCATAAACATTTTATGATAAGGGAGACAGTTTATTGAATTTATTATGCTAGGGTGACATCCTTTATATCCTTCCACTATACGGGACAAAATGTAATTACAGTAGTAAACGAAAATGGATGGGTTTAGTCCATGCCAGAAAAAATATTAGCTCAATCTTCATCTTTTTATCAGGGATGCACTGCACTGGTCCAACTTTTTTTTTTTGCCAGTTTTGATACTATGGCTTTACATATCTGCTGATATCCGATATCAACCGATACAAGTGTGGAGATTGAAAATAGCATTTATGTCAAAAAAATAATTTGTCCCACTGGTAACTACACAGCAGCTTTGTGTAAAAAGTTCAAACATGAGATTTCTGGGCCAAGTAAAACCAGTATATAGTCTTATTAATAATCTGAATAAGTCTGAATAAACGGAATAAATTAAATTAACTCAATTAGACTGTCCATGGACCAGGTAGCGGTCCCTTTAATTTATATGTTTTTCCAATTGTATAGTGTGAATAAAATGCAGATAATAAGTAGAGGAACACTAATATCTTACTGTGCTCTGGACTCTGAAGTCTGACAGAGAGGCCATAAGTTTGTCGAGTTCAAGTGTTGCTGATGTTGCTGAGGGCTTCGCAGAGCTGAAACATGTAACACAAAATGCAATGATACATTTGAATGTTAATAATTTTTACAGTTTCATACTATAAATAAAATATAGGTTTTTGTCAACTGTGAAAAACTGGGACATGACATTAATATACAAAAATAGGTAATTCAAATCAATTTACTTCATGCAATGATTATAAAAATGCATTAAATACCCATCCATTGTGATCAATATGTTGTAATGATTAGCTACCTGATGGTCCTGTCTTTAGGTTTATCATCTTTCTTAGGAGACGGGAACTGGGCCAGGATCTCATCTGGATGCAATAATACAGCCATAGGAATAAAGTGATTGTTCTCATAAAACAAATGATCTGAAGAAATCTGCTTGTAAACAGACCAGTGATATTGAACTGTGTGGCATTTAGCTCCTGCAGCAGATGATCCAGCTCACTCAGGCCTCCTCCCAACAGCGATGAGGAGGAGAAGGCCGGAGGGGGGTCCGCAGCACGAGGGGAGCGGGGTTTGTTCACTGTGCTGCAAGAAACACAAGGCCACAATGGCAGCTTTTATTGCATTACGCCTTTGTGCGTCTGCATATAGGTAATTAAGCATTGGTTCACTGAAATAAAATGCCCACTGCCTAAACAAGGACTAAACTAAATAATCACTACAGGCACATATTTCCATGGTACGTTTTTAGTACATATAAGCATAATTAGAGTAGGGTCTTTCTTTTCTCTTTTATATTTCTAATATATTTAACAAACATTCAGGCAAATTCTATATTTAAAGTGTTTAGAAATATTGTGTTCTAGTTCCATGTCAATTATTACTTAATAAACTTAAAGTTGGATGTGAACCCCTATGATCAGAAAAAAAAGCCTTGCCAACAGTTACCTGTAGAGTTTATCTGGGTTTGAATTTTGTGAGGATTTCATTGCAGCAGAAACCGTCTGAAAAAATAATTAAAAGGTCAACACTGCATTACAATACTCAATTAAAACCATTTATGGGTGTCTGCAGCATACCTGCTGAGGGGTATAGGCAGGAGGTGGGGGTCGCACCTGGGCAGTGTCCTGGGATGTGGGATCAGCATTCAGTGGAGGTTCAGACGTCAACAGGACTGGACAACGCGCAAGAGGGGAGCTGGTGTTCTCCAAATCAGCAAGAAGGGCATCTGAATTTTATTCGGAAGATACTTTGTTTATAAACAAGTGTCCTCATAATATTACAAAGGAATATTTACATTGCAACAGGTTGTGCTCATAACATGTGACACATTTCCAATGAATTTTGTGTTAATTAGAAGTTGCTATTAAAGTATCAAGAGTCAGATGAAATAAGTTTGTTCTAATTGCAGAAAACATTTAACCTTTCCTTGGTCAAAAACAGACAGTTGATTCTTATCAGCCACAAGATAAAAAAAAAATACAACTACAACAGAATGCAATGTCAAACTATAATGTTGACTGTTAGTGCTAATGGTGATGAATGTGGAATGAGATTAAATGGATTTTTGGTGAAAACACGATCTTTTAAAACTCACAAATTGTCATAATGATACACATCTGTGTGTTAGTTAAGCGTGTATAGATATTGAGATATGAAATGTTTAAATTTATATATAATATACTGAGAAATGTCCAGAAAAAATGGATGATGAAAGGAAACAAACATGTAGATTGGCATGCACAGCAGTTACGTACCAAACACAACTATACGAGGACTGAGAGGGTAGTTAGGTTCAGGCTCCCCTATAGAAAGACACACCAATACAGCAGCAGAAGGTCAGCACACAGTAATAAGACAGACCATGATGTCAAATGCAGCCTTATCACACAGTTAGAAGTGAGCAGAGCGGTCAGCATTGGCAAATTCAAGATAACATAGACACAAACATTGGTGCAGTGTGACATGCCAGAGTGTAGAGGAAACAGAGGGAGAGGAGTGTTTTGGAAATGATATCTAATCCACCTACGCACTGAATTCAAGTTAAAGTGGAAGTTGTTCAGTGTTTGGCCTCTGGAGCTACATGACATCATTTGGAACTGACAGCTCAGCCTAAACCCAAAAATTATGATCATAAAATTTATGACAAAGAAGCTACTGTTTTGGATATGTGGTATTATTTCAGTATTTTATTTTCACTTGTCTTATGTTCAAAAATTTTTCTTTAGACTGAAAAACTGAGAATGAACCCTTGTATGTCTCTAGAGTGAGCAGACTGCTAGTAAAACTCTCCACTGTTCTCATTTAGGAGCTGTTGGAAGTGAACTAAATGCTAGTACAAAGTTTGTGTTTAGTCAGTGGCTGTCTCTATGGTTTCTGTTTTTATATCTTTTGGTTCTAGTAAAGTGCAGTTTGTGTCCAGACAACAACTTTGGATTTTCTCAACCTTATTTCATCCCTGCGGGCACAACTGTCCCAGATGATTCACAGTTTAGGTACGGCCATGTGGTGCGAATACAATTTTGCACACTCTATTACACTAACAAGCCAGATTGCTCATATAAGGAGCTGAAGTTCTTTCAATGGGAATTCTGACCATATTTAGAGCGTCTTGTCGACTTGTTTGTCTTGGCCATGATTTCTCTCTACAAGTGGTTCTTCTCAAAGCACAGCCAGTGCCAGATCCAATACATAAACTTACAACATACTCTGGGTAGCAGCACAAACGCTGTGTCCCAAACATGGCCAGGGTTGTCTGACTAGCCCTCACACAGTCACCCTGTAACTTTCACACAATCCTTTCCAGATGTGTGTTGGCAACATCTCACCATTCTTCACAGTGCTGCCTGCCTCAGCTAAACCTGTGTTCCTGGGCTCTGAACTGGACTTTGTGGAAGAACAAAATCCCACAAAAGCAAATGGGCAGTTTTGAGGAAAAAATAAAAATGTCCTATTTTCATTGAACTCTGTGGCTTTTTGAAATAGCTGAGCGGTCTGGGCTATTTCAGGGCTTTTCCGACAATGCCTTTCCCATGGCTCTCCTTCTCACTGTGTTAAAAAAAGAAAACACTTAACACAATACCAGCGATTGACTGTGAACACAATCCTTTGATGTCCTTGAAATGGAAGACACCATGTTAAGCATTAAGTAGGTATCTGTCTCTCACTTATGGATGAGAAAACCCACTGTGGCTCTACTAATCTAATTGACTAAGAATTTTTTGTATTTGCAGTGCAAGCCTGGCTCTTAGGACAGCAGCAAGACTGGTCACTGTAGGAGCTGTTCAACTCTGATCATTGCTTTGTCTTGTAATTTGATTTAGTTAACCCAACTGGTCCATATGGTTTATGGGTTTGTTATATTGTATGTAGTTAATCTTTTATTAGGCCTAGAACAAATCAAGCGTGTTAATTAATATAAGCAATAGTCTTTCTAAGGCATGCATACTGTAGCAAGTAATCTGACATGATCACTAAAGACTCCTACCGTATTTCCTCTGTTTGGGCACACACCACCCCTTCCCTCAGATCCAGCCTCAGATACAAATCAGTCTACATCACCGCTTTACACGAAATTTCTTACCCAAATCCTCCATTGTGTGCGTTATCACTCCCTCCGTTTGCGGCACACCATTCAATAAGTTGAAATGACGCCACACGCAGTCCTGGTACCGGGGCTATTGTCTGCCTCGAATCCGAATAACTTCTGGCCCGTTATCCGCCACACGGAGGGAGGAGGAGTAAAGAGGCGAAGGGCGTCCCATCGTTTTTTCCTACACGAGTCTCTTCCTGTGTAATGCCCACTACCAGGAGACGAGAACGGAGAAGGCGTAGTTAAATAAATGTGGTTACAAAGCCGCATTCCCCGGACACTTGACGTCATCCTTACATTCCTAGTCCATATTTGGGACGAAAAGTAAAGATTGTGTCACAGTGCGCGGTTGTAGAGATAGATGCGCAACTGAGGGTCTGTCACTGTTTAGAAGGCGGGTTATTCCCAAACATGAAAACTCCAGAGACAGCATGATGATAGTCTGGCCAACACCATAAAGTATGAAAAACTGATTTGAGTAATGGTTAAAGCTAGATGTTTTAAATCTGATTTATTAAACTGATTATTCCAAATGTAACTGTAAATCAAATTAATAAAAACGCAAATGTCCCATTTTAACAATTAAACCAAAATATAGCCCAAATATAAACCAGACAAAGATTCATTCAAGCCAGGATAAATGTAGATGAATTTTATTTACAAAAAGTAAAATTAAAAGAGGCTAAGCCAAATATTAAAACTAATCAACCCTAAATAAACATACTAGGCAACAAATGGTGTGCAATGGAGATGCTGACACAAAACAAATGGTGAAATAATGATTTTCTTAATGCAAACCTAACATTTGAAAGCTCTTGTATGTGCTTTATGCAACAGATATCACAGCCTCTGTTGTCCAAGAGGTACCTGCCTTTGGTCTCAGTGCATAAAAATACAACAAAGAACATTGAAATGAACCAGAAAGACAATAAAAGCTTGAGGGTGATGCAAACAAGCCATTAGACCAAATTGCAACGAAAAACACAATAGTAGTAAGATAGAGAAAGTAAACAGCAAAACCTGTGTCTGGGAAAAAAGTATGATCAGGTACGATCTGCTCATGCGGTTTGCTGACACTGGAATCTTATCCATGCACGTTAGTTCAGAGCATTGTGACACACAACTACGCCTTCACCATTCCAAAAATATTGACAATTAATACGGTGCACACACATTCATTCTGCAATCTCTCAAAAAGTTATGACTCTGACTTTGGAACAGGTTTAGCTCCAAGTCTAAGGTCAGAACTTAATATGATGTGAAAACCAAAATGGGTTTTTATTAAAGCAAATCTGGGAGGCATATTTTCGAGGTTTCTGGGAGAAAAGGACTCTGGGGCCAAAATTCAAAGGTAACCTTGATAGACATAGTTACCTTTAGTTAGCATGTATCAATTCAATTTCAATCTCTTTGTTGTCACTTCTCCATTGAAGTAAATCCACAAACACAGCCCCTATTACGTTCCCTGTTGGTGCTGTCACTGCACTGCCTGCTCATTGGCAGTGCTACCAGAGTCCTGAGGCTTCATCACATCAGGGAGTTCAGGGGGACTTGAGAAGGCCTCGATGTGCAGCGGCTCAAACATCTCATCTGGGAAGGAAATGACTGTAATCAGTTTTAGCATACTCTAAAATAAATTGCAGCAACTTTGAGTATGATCAACAGAATTATACTGTAGATTTTAACATACTATTTACTCGGAAGGCCAAACCAACAGTTGCTGGAGCCTGGGGTCTAGCAGTCTGGTTAGTGAAACCAGAGTCGCCCAAGGTTTTACTGTCTTCTAGCAATTGGTCATCCTGTAAAACACAAAATATGGAATGTCAAAGCAAAATATCAAGTCTGGGTTCTGCTTGCTACAACTACACATTTTCAAACATAAGGGCCCTGTTTCAAGAATCAGGTTTAGTCCAAACTTAGGGTTTATTAACCCTAAAAAGTGGTAAACTCAAGAGTTTTCAGTCAGTCACCATGGTAACTCACTCTGTGAACATAACCTAGTCCAGAGCAAGTTTTATTCCTCTGACCTTGAGTTTTACCAGAGACTGCTTGTGAAGAGCTCTGATTGGACAGATCACTTCCCCATTTGCAGAAATAGGAATGGTTAAAACTAAGTTTAATTATGCATATTTAACCTTAAAAAGTTACATTTATTTTTCATTTTCACATTTTACTTTAGTTTCTAATTTGAATACAACACAATTTACTACTTATAACTTTTTGAATTTGTTAATCTATCAGCTTGATATCAAGCAAATAGATCATTTAATTGCGTTGTGGTCTGAATGGCTGTCCTATTTTAATCACTTTATCATGTACTCCAAATATTTATCAGACCTTTATGTGCAAAATGATGGTGTGTAAGATTATTTTCAAGTTGTAAAATAGTTACACTTTTGGGTTTTAATGCATCATACTAATTATTCATTAAAGTATACTATTACTTAACATTCCATTTTAGTGTCACGCCTAAATTCAACCTGTCCACAGACATATTACTTCTTGTTCCACTAAGATGGATGAATAAATTTGAAAAATAATTAATTTATCCATCCTCTGGTTTACAGTTGCCAGATCTTTTCTGGGATCCACTGACTGTGGCCTCTCTCCTCAGCCAAACTCAAGGTGAACATACTCTGAATGGTCTGACTCTACTCCAAACCTGTTTTCTGAAATGGGAGTGTTTTGAGTTGTCTGAGTAGGATAACTCTGAGTCAGTAATTAAACTCAGTGGTAAATTTTACACACAGTAAGTTAGTAAAAAACAGTTCTGAAATTATTTTTCAAATTGATTTATCTAGCGATTATTCTTTCTTTTAATCAGTTAGCTAGCATGCAATAGGCCTGTGAAAGAGATGTTCTTTTACTGAATTTGACCCAGATGAAGCTATGGTGACACTGGTATCCTGATAAAGTTCATTTACAAACAAAACACTTTCTTGTGTATTTACTGCTGTCTCTGAGTCATAAAACTTCTTCTCTCACCTTACGGCACGCTTTGGAGTCTAGTGAATTTTGTCCAAATAACCATTGCTACATTTTGATAATCGGCTATTGATCAATCAGATGAGTCGATGCACATGCTGTAACAAAACAAACTCACTTTGTAGAGCTGCTGGTCTTCAGGAGATCTTTTGAGAATTCCTTCTACGATACGCTTAAGCTCATATACTGTTGTAGACTCCTTAGCGTCTGTGAAGATTGTAGTCTTGTGATGTCGGATCATTAAAAAAACATCCTATTAAAAATATGAAATACAAAGTTTTAATAAGAACTATTATGAAATCGTTTTCTTGCACTAATTTGTAACAAATACAATTTTGAACAAATACTTCAACATTGAAAGCAGAAAAGTATGTTCAGACATTTCATAGCAAACACTGTATGAATATGAATGAATATGTCAATAAGGTATGATTGCATGCTTGCTGTACAATTATTATACACATGATTTATTAGGTAACCAGGTATAAAAAAATAAATGTAATTTTGTAGATGGAGGAAAAGTCCGTGGATTTTACAAATAAAGATTTGAATGTCTCTAGATCTGAAACAATTATCACATCATTTGAATATATTACAATAACAAAATAGTGAAACACTTTTGGCAAAACCATAACAGTGGAACCAGTATGATCTCTTAGTAGTGATCTTTAAGCGAAAATAACGGTGCCATTTCACTCATTTGATAAATAAATACAGTAGTAACGTCAATAGTGCTACATCACAACCAGTGCTAGCCAAGATCCGCAACAACAACGCTAAGGTTACAGTTAAATTAGCCACATTAGCTACATTAGCAAGGGCTAGCTAAGAAACAAAAGCTCAGATGTATTGCCCAGTTTGCTGTGTGACATTACAATTACGTTATATTTTGGGGGAATTAGGCTTAATCTATCGAAGAATCGACCAAAAATACTGAATGTAAGAAAACCTAATCATTACCATTTCAAGAGATCAGCTAGCTACCCGGTTAGGCCAGCCTTGTGTTGTGTAGCAGCAGACTGCACCACCAGCGGAAATTGCGCAATGAGAGAGTATTGCCGCATTCACAAAAAAGGTACGCAACTCTACGTTATTTTTTCAGAATTTGGCGCCAGCTGGATGATTCGTGTCAGACTAAACAGTGGTGTTTTCCAGGTTTGCTTTGGTCTAGTCCTGAACCGTTCTTGTCAGTACATTTCATTTTCGTAACGTTTCATGTGTGGCGTTTTACTACCACTGCGTGCAAGCGTTAAACGCGTACTTTGACATTAGATTGGCAAATGTTGCTAAAGGCATGTTGTTTATGTATTTTAAGGGATCCACCTTCGCCTAATCTTGGTTAATACTTTCTGTGAGGGACATTTTACCTTTGAGAACTGTTCTCTAATGGCACGGGCGCTTATGTTGTTTATAAATGTAGTATTATAACTGCTTATCTTAAATAGGTCGTGCCAGTTATACCCCCAAGGCCAAAAGTAGGATGTATTCTGAATATCTTAGCTACAAAACATCGACATATTTATAGTATGTTGTTAACAATGCTATATTTTGTTATTGCTTATTTGAATGTTTGTTCTCTCTGTATTGACTACCAACATGCACCCTCAGTACTCGCTAATAATGATCTGATTTTGCTCTCTCATAGTGTACTATACTATACAAGAGGAAGGGTCCTTGGACAATGTCAGTTGCAGTGGAGACTTCTGTAGCCGGGTTGCCTCGCCCATCTCACTTCTCTCATGCTGAGCAGTCCTTCTCTATTAAGAAGCGATGCCCTCCATTCTCCTCATCTTCAACGTCCACCTCATCCTATGCTTCTCCAACACAGCTCTCGCGGTCCGTGCCCCCCCTACCACCGTCCAAAGGATGGCCCCCTTTAAGCAGGCTGTTTCCCCATCAGCCATCTCCATTCACACCTTTATCAAAATCTCTGAACAAATCACCCCCACCCAGTTCTGTATATGATCCTAACAAACAGCAGACTTATTTTAATCAATGTTTTACAAATTTGGGTTTGCTTGGAAGAGGCTCTTTTGGGGAAGTATTCAAGGTGAGTATATTTGTATTGCAAAATTAAGCACCGTGTATATAGAGCAACTGGGACAGTAAATATTGTGTTTTTGACATGCAGTGATTGTAAGGTGCATATGCAAATACTTTTTAATCCTTTACTAGAGTTAGCTCTGCAGTAGCCATTTTCACAAATGAAGCTTTTTTGTGTTGTAGGTGCAAAGTAACAAAGATGGCCACCAGTATGCAGTCAAGCGCTCTGCACATCGCTTCAGAGGAAACAATGAACGGAGCCGAAGTTTAAGAGAAGCGAGAAATCATGAACGCCTGTCTCCACACCCGCACATTCTGAAATTTGTAGCAGCTTGGGAGGAGTGTGGTCGCCTTTTCATCCAGACAGAGCTGTGTAACACAAGCTTGTTGCTCCATGCTGAAAACCAGCCTCCTGGTCTTGGTCAGTTATGAATGATATGCATTTAAATTAAGTTATTTGATTACTGGGTGGTGAGGTAGCAGTTACATAACAATAATGAAAAGAATAATATAAATCCTGTTTTATATTAATTTTTTATTGAAATGCAGATGAGCCAGCAGCTTGGAATTACCTTTGCGACCTCCTGTCAGCACTTGAACATTTGCACTCTCATGGCTTTGTGCACTTGGACCTAAAACCTGCCAATGTCCTCGTCACTGAGTCTGGTCGTCTGAAATTGGCTGACTTTGGACTATTATTTCAATTCAAGAAAAATGTTGGAGAGCAAACTGTCAAGGAAGATATGCAAGAAGGAGACCCCAGATACATGGCTCCAGAGCTGCTACAAGGAGAGTATGGGCCAGCTGCAGATGTTTTCAGGTACAAATCATACATTTGTTGCATTGCTGTTAAAGTCATATGATTAAACAATTAACAGCTTCTAATCTAATCCAATTTCAACTAGTTTGGGTGTTTCCATACTGGAGCTAGCCTGCAATCTTGAGGTTCCTAATGGAGGAGAGGGCTGGCAGCAGCTAAGACAAGGCTGTCTTCCTGCAGAGTTTACGAGTGGTAGTTATTGGTCTCTTAATGTCTGTTAAATAAGAATGAGTACATACTATTATACTACTCCCCTCTGGGTTTTTTTAGGTCTCTCACCTGAGTTTCAGACAGTCCTGAAGCTGATGCTGACTCCTGAACCATCCAAGCGACCCACAGTCTCAGAGCTTCTCTCCCTCCCATGTGTCAGGAAACGAAGGTGGAAGAGGCGCATCTACCTTACAGTCACTGAGACTGTTCTTGCACTTATCTTTCTCTGTCAGGTATGTTGTATTATGGATTTGAAACAATGAGGAGCTGTGTTCAATTTGAAGCATGAATTAATGTATTATATTGATATGATTGCTATATGTCCCATTTGTCACAGAAGGCAGCATGCTTTGGCTGGAGAGTGCTATTCTCTCTTCCTTGGTCGTTTGTTCCTTGGTCTATGTCAGCCCCCTCTACTCCCCCCAAAGACAGTTGGGACAAAGACTTAACTCTCTCGCTCAGTGCCATGATGGCTGAGTCTGGAACACCTGAGGAGGAATCTGTGTTTTTTGTGGATCAATTGGACCCAGAGCTCTCCCCTACATTCTCCCACAGGTGTGCCTTATCTGTGTCAGTCTACTGTTGTTTTAATTTTTTTTTTTTTTTACTATCTATCTGCTCCACTGTTTACCGTGTATTTTGTATTCACAGGTTAAAGTCAAGATTGTCTTTGGAAAGCACATCTACGCCTCTCCCTAGGTCACCCTCTCACTACCACCGAAGCCCTGCTCATACACCTAATCATTCAGTTTTAAGAGAATGGCCATCCTGCCATTTACCTCTGACCCCTTCCAGTATAAATTCATTCAATTCTTGTCATGATCTTTCACCAAATGGAAGTCCCATCAAAACTTCTCAACTCAGCCGTCAATCATCTGCCAAGTCCACTCAACGAAGTGGTCGCAACTGGGTCAGAGCTAATGAACTTCTACAGAGACCAAACTTTGAGCCAAAGAACTTGCTGAGCCTTTTTGAAGAGACAGCCTGTGATGGCGAGTCTTAAATCTGTCAGGCACATTGGTGAGGGTAAAAAATATAAGACTGTATTAATTGTGCTGGAACGCTTTGACAAAACAATTTTGCCATTTACTTGTTGACTTTGTAACTGCCTCTTTTGACTTTTATTTAGGGAATTGTCTTTGGGGGAAAAGGAGAGATTCTAATCTTGAACTTGATGCTCTTTTTGTGTTTGTGCAAATGCAAATATTGCTAAAATGACATGTCATGATGAATTGTTTCCTATTGTAATGTAAGTTATACTTTCTTTAGTGTATTCATGTCCTGTGTCTTATGATCGTCAGAAAATACATTTGTGAGAACCCAGATTCCCTGTAACTGTGTTTATTTGATGCTACTAGTCATACTATTTTGATAAGATAATAGGAGGAGCTGTCTAGATAATTATGTAAAGATATATTTTATTATGAAACTGAGGGAACTTCTAACCACGGGAAATGTTTACAGTTTGCCAAAAGGTGGTGCTAGAGTTTAAGAACTGGCTCTAACCATGCCATTGACTAAATTAGTACGGTCTATGGTTGACGCTAGTCTCGGGGGAAGAAATTATATAGGACAGCTTTTTCATGATTTGTTTATGTAATTTCAGACCTCATTCTGCTATGTCATATAAGATATAGTCTGCATGACTTACGAAGAGATGTTCAAACTGAAACCACATGAGGCTGTCAGTGAATTAAGCTGTGCTGTCTGTAGTTCACAGATGCAAACTGCTGTTGTGCAGGAAGAGGTTCAAGGAGATGGCAGCAGAGTATCTACAGAGGACAACTCGGACTCAAAGGGAACACCAGAGTCTGAACTAGAGACTGCAAGAATTTCAGGATAAACTCAAACTTGACAACAATGGTAACAATCCAATCTCTTATATCTCTTGCTCAGGAGCAGGCCCTGGGCACGCGAGCAATAGAGGCCCAGATCTACCACACCAGACAAGACCCACGGTGTAGACTGTGCAAAGAGGCTCCTGAGACAGTCCAGCACAAAACTGCAGGGTGTATGATGCTGGCAGGGAAAGCATACATGGAGCGACATAACCAAGTGGCAGGCATAGTGTACAGAAACATCTGTGCAGAGTACGGGCTGGAGACCCCAGGATCAAGGTGTATATATATATATATATATATATATATATATATATATATATATATATATATATATATATATATATATATATATATATATATATATATATTACAGTTGTGTTCAAAATAATAGTGTTTTTTAAAACGTGAGTAAAGCTCAAAAGTCATAACATTTTTATTTCCATTCATTGGGAACATGTCATATTATTTTTTACATCAAGACATGAAGAAAAAAGTGTCAATATTTTAATTACTATACAAAAAATTATTATTATTATTAATTGGGCTGTTAAAAAAAATAGCAGTGTCTGCATTTTTCATTACAAACTCAAATATTTACTCAATAAAACGAAAAAACTTTGTGATTTAGCATTCCTGTGAATCACTAAACTAATATTTAGTTGTATAACAACTGTTTTTGAGTACTGCTTCACATCTTTCCTGCATGTCCTGTAGACCAACTTCTGGCACCTGTAAACAGGTATTCCAGCACAGGATGATTTGACAACCTTCCACAATTCCTTTGCATTTCTTGGTTTTGCCTCAAAAAACAGCATTTTTTATGTCATCCCACAAGTTTTCTATTGGATTAAGGTCTGGGGATTGGGCTGGCCACTCCATAACTTAAATTTTTTTTTGATCTGGAACGAAGATGTTGCTAGCTTACTGGTGTGTTTGGGGACGTTGTCTTGTTGAAACACCCATTTCAAGGGCATTTCCTCTTCAGCATAAGGCAGCATGACCTCTTCAAGTATTTTGATATAAACAAATTGATCCATGATCCCTGGTATGCAATAAATAGGCCCGACACCATAGTAAGAGAAACAGCCCCATATCGTTCATGATGCTTGCACCACCAGGCTTCACGCTCTTCAGAGTGTACTGTGGCTTGAATTCAGTGTTTGGGGGTCGTCCGACAAACTGTCTGCGGCCCTTGGACCCAAAAAGAACAATCTTACTTTCATCAGTCCACAAAATGTTTCTCCATTTCTCTTTAGGCCAGTCTATATGTTCTTTGGCATATTGTATCCTCTTGAGCACGTGTCTTTTTTTTAACAGTGGGACTTTGCGGGGGCTTCTTGCCGATAGATTAGCCTCACACAAGTGTCTTTTAATTGTCACAGTACTCACAGGTAACTTTAGACCATCTCTGATCTTCCTGGAGCTGATCATTGACTGAATCTGCCATTCTGGCTATTGTTTGATTCGAATGGTAGTCTTCTGTTTTCTTCCACGTCTCTCTGGTTTGGCTTTCCATTTTAAAGCAATGGAGATCATTTTAGATGAGCAGCCTATCATTTTCTGCACTTCTTATATGTTTTCCCCTCTCCAATCAACAATTTAATTAAAGCACGCTGTTCTTCTGAACAATGTCTGGTACGAACCATCTTTCTCAGGTTTTCAGAGAGAATTGCATGTACAACATGTGCTGGCTTCATCCTCAAATAAGGGCCACCTAAATGACATTTGTTTCTTCACTTAATGATTGACCTCACTGATTGAACTCCACACAGCAATTATTTTTAACACACCCCTTTCACTTAATTATTCAATTACACAGACTCAGGAGCATTTATATCATGAATGTTGTGTCTGTTGGTTTCTCTGACTCTATAACACCTACTGATAAAATATTTGCCATGTAATACTATGATGTATACCAAAAACAGTGATCGATCTGGTTAGTCATGTTGGACTGCTATTCTGGTCAGTCAGTGGAATTGATTAATCAATTTACAAAGTCAAAGACATGAGCACATAAGTAAAAGGGTACTTTTACCGGTACTTTTGTGTGGCAATGTAAAAAGTTCAACCATTTCAATGTAGACACTGTGGAAAACGTTTTATTTATTCAACTACTATAAAAAAACATGAGCAGAAGTGCACTCAGAATCTACAAAAGTCATGTGTCCACACCGAAAAGCACTGGCCCATGAGCCATTTTTTTGTTTTATCTGTAATGTGTGTTCTGGAGTCTAAACAGTCAAACGTATAATTACTGTTTACTTCAATACACACACATCTTTGGGAAAACCCAAGATGGTCTACAGTATTACTCAGTGCCCACAACAGTAAAAATAATAATAATTAAAAAACAAAACAAAACAAAAAACCCACAATATCTGTACTATATTTATTATTTGTTTGTGAATTTGTTCATGTATTAGACTCTGACATTTTTAATTTTGAGATTTTGGGCTTCTTTCATCTTTCTAACACATCATAGATGACGGTGTCATCAGAACTTATTACTTCAGGTGCTTACTGCATTACCCAACTCAAAAGAATTTAGAAGCTATTTCCTGTTCAGTCACAGCTAGGCGTGACCTGTCTTGTCTCCTTTATATGAGCATTTGTGGACATTTTGGGACAATTCTTTGCAGAACCTAAAGGTAAGCTATTCCATTTGATTACATACAGCCTTATTCAAACCACCACACTTGTACATTTGTACAATACCATTTGCATTTTTTATTTCAGATTTGTTCTTCATAATGCAGAGTGCCAAGTGTGTGTTTGTTGGAGACAGTGGAACTGGAAAGTCCTATTTACTTTCCACCTACATAAGGAAGTCCTTTCCTGGAGAGTACCATACAGACTTTTTAGACCGTTACTCTGCAGAAGTGAAGATTAAAAACCAGATTGTTCAGTTACATGTTTTGGATACAGCTGGCTCTGAAGACTATGCACGTTTACGTCTTTTAGTGTATCCTCACACCAATGTTGTTGTTATTTGTTTCTCCATTTCTGACCCTTTGTCCTACCAGAGTGTTACACAAACGTGGCTTCCAGATGTTGAACCAAATTGCCCTAAAGCTCCTATTCTTTTGGTGGGAACTAAGAGTGACCTGCGTGATAACAAGGAGATTTTAGAAAAACTTAACGAGAAGCGTCTGTCCACAATAACCCAACAACAGGGACTTGCTCTGGCAAAAAAGATCAGAGCTGCTGGATATTTTGAATGTAGTTCAATCCATCAAGAAGGATTGGATGAGATATTTGAAAAGGCTGCACAAATATATCTTCAGAGAATAAAGAGAACTCCTTCAAAGAAACATTGTATTATTTTATAGCCTAATGATAATAAGATAGACAAGACTTTCATTTGAGATACAAGCAATCTCCAGTCCTGTTTGCGGGTATTACAACAATAGTGGTTGATGCATTTTTTATTATTTTTTTTATTTTACTTATATTATTATTATTTATTTTATTTATATATATAATTGGTTTCTTCTGTGTTTTTTTGTTCTGGCCCGTCTTAACTGTGGAACATTTGATACTTTTCCACAAATGTTGTACACTTCATTAATTTGTTAATAATAAACATATACGGTCTACGTTAATGAATGTGGGGGAAAAAAATTTAATACATTTTTAAAAAAGCATTGTTGTTGACGGAAGTGTCCAAAATTCTATTTCCGGTGGGAGTACTGTGTTATGCTGAAAAACAACTCCATCGTTTAGAAATTGCAGTTCAAAAATAAATTGTACCGTATACTTGACACGGAAAGATATTTGCTTTACATTGTATGTTATTTTGGAGATTAATAATGTGCCCAAGTGTCAACTTGATCAGCTTTCCATGCTAACCTCGCTAGCATCTCATTTTACAGGTAATGTTAGCTAGCATCTGCAGCACAACTATTACTATTATTATTTTATTATTATTATTATTATTTTGGCACACTGAATGCTATATATGGGTTTTCGGGTGCTATTTAAACAACAAAATTGTGATATATTGTTCAAAATAATAACAACCATGAATTTATAGTTTTAGGTGTAATGACTTTTCTTATTCTTGTTTGTGTGTTAATTCTTTCAGTATGTCTAAACTGCAACATCTGAATGCCCGTGTGGCGAAGCTGCTAACACAAGCAGTTTATGAAGTTTTGGATGCTGTGAAAGAGACCGTGTCTGAGTATCAAGAAAAAACTGCTAGAACACTAAGGGAAAACGAGAGTCTAAAACGAAGACTGCAAGAGCTCAAGGAAGAGATTGCCCAAGAGAGATGTGGGTATAATTTTGCTATTTTTCATATTTTGATGCTATAAAATGTCATAAATGTGAATGTATTTATTTATTTTGTGTGTGTGTGTTATTTTATTTTCTAGTGAGACTCAACTCTGACCACATCACAGAGAATAATCTTCCTCAAAACCATATAGCTGGTCATTCCCACACTGAGCAGTGGGAATGTGGCAGCAAGTCTTACAATGACACAAAGAGAGAAGAGTCAAATGACACAATTACCTCTCCAACCCAGTCTCCCACAGAAGTCTTTGAGTCGCAAGTAGATGATGGGACTTGTGTTAAAGAAGAAGATATGAGCCGCACAGCGCCAGTCTCCAGTAATGCAAACCAAAGTATAAATCCCACACCAGCTACAAATATGGGTACATCAAAGTCTGGAGGAATAACTGAAGCCAATCTGTCTATTGTCAAACAAGAACCAAGAGCATTTGAGACTAAAGACTCTTCCTCCTGTGTGAATTTAAGTTACAACTCCTTTCATCAAACATCTATTGAACTAGCCAGAGCACAGGTTATTACTGAAGTTTCTCAACCACCCTTACCTGCCTATTCCAGTCTGGTAATGTCTAAAGGGATCACACATACAAATGGGATCTCTTTTGATGTGACCAACGGCAGAAGGGGGAGTTTTCAATCAGAAGATCTTCATGTATGTATAGTTTGTGGGAAGACGTTTAGCCGAGTGGGAAACTTAAGAATTCACCAGCGGTGCCACACAGGAGAGAAGCCCTATGGTTGTATACAGTGCGGTCGGCGTTTTACTCAAGCGGGTGACTTAAAAAAACACAAGAGGGTTCATACAGGAGAAAAACCCTATTTTTGCACTCACTGTGGCAAAAGTTTCAGTCGGAGGGAGAACTTAAAAAGACACCAGAGAATCCACATTGGAGAGACACTGAGATTACAGCAAGTATGGAGAGAGCCACCAATATAATGAAGTGTTATTATCAGAATGTCAGCCCCACAGATTCTAATATTCTCCTTTGTTCTCAAAATCCAAGCTGAACAGTATATTGATAAAACATTATAATTCAAATTCTGATTAGATAATAAAATAAGAGCAGTCTGTGCAACCATGGTGGCATATTAGTTGTGATGATACTGTCTAGTGAGATGACTTATTTTGTCAAGCTACATAATTAGGTCTAATGTTGTCCTGTACTTGTTTTAAATGGAAGAAACATGTAAAAGAACCAAAGGGTACCTAGGCAACATCAGTTTTCCTATATTGTATAGAAATTTTCAGTGAACTATTTAATAGACAAATGGAATAGTTTGAAAAGGTTTGATACCTTATCTGTTCTTTTTTTTTTTTCTGGAAGGTGCCAACTTTATTGAAGGAAAATTATTGTTAAAATTTGCCTTTTTATTTTCATTATATATGTGAACATGTATTTGTATAGAACAACACTATTCTCTAGTAATTGCAATGTTTAAATTAAACATTAAAATAGCCTGTGTTTCCTTTATTTGTATGTACAATTAAGTCAACTTTGGTTTGTCTATATGTCAAGTTGGTCTACACTGCTACTACGCAGGTACAACAGTTGTATAATATATTAGGCATGCACACAAACAAAGTATGCATATTTTTATTGGAAAGTAAAGAAGTTACTCTACCAGGTGAATTTATTTTAACCGTAAGCAGAGTACATGATGACCGTGACGTGCAGTGGCCTCCTTCATTCACAAAACCAGGAAGTGACTGGCCGCTGGCACAGTTGCACAGCTGCAGTTCCACAACAAAAAATACGCTTTACAAAGGTGAGTCGGCTTAGTCCATGGCGTAACTACATCCTCAAAATATTTTCGCTTTGTTTTGATGAACTGAAACTTGACTAACCTCGGGAGGTGGGAAACTTTCAACGAAGTTAATATTCAGAGCTGTTGAAGGCAACCTGGCAATGTTTTTGTTTATCGACACTTGAGCATATTTCTACAAACCACGGTGTACTGGATGAACTGTAGTTTATGTCCTGAGAGTTGAATGTTTAAGAAAGATCCATGTAATGCGCACGAATCAGTGGTTATTGTAGCGAAACCGTCTGAGACGCCTCTTTGATATTAAAGATTCTCTATCCATTTTTATATCTCTATTTCAGCGATTAGGCCTAACGAAGTAGACTATGTCCTTCAAGTATTTCCTTGTGTGACAGGTTCACTGTGCAGCTGATGTTGAGATGAAGATTGATGAAAAGGTTATGTGTTATTTTGAATCCAGTAACACTCCTGTGGACAAACAAGGCTACCTGTACAAGAAGGTAGGACGCTCTACGGTCATGTCAATAGAGTAAGCCTACAGCCGACTATGAAGTGCCCCATGTAAAAATGTCTCATGCGTCCTTCAAAAGATGGAAACAAGGAATAGTTTTCTGTGATTGTCAAAAGTTGTGTAGCTACCAGTAAGTGGCACCCATCTGCACACCCATAATCCAGGCAATCTATAAACATAACAGTTACTGAACAGATGTTTTGTTGAAAAAGAAACAACTAATCCTTAGATTAAATAAACTACAGCTAATTCGGCATAGTAGAGACTATTCACATTCACACACTATCTGATAAGTTATCAGCCGTTCAGATATAATCAAAATATAGGCTATTTCATCCACAAATAAAACTTAGGCCAAAGAAGACATGAAATATACAGTTGATGTTCAAGATTGATCAACCAAACCTCATCATTACGGGAACAAAATTTGTAGCTTCTTGTTTCTAAACATCTTGTGTAATAAATTAGGTAATTTTGAATCATTTGCAAATGTGACAGTTGACCACAGATGACACAACTATCCCACAGGGTGAGATCAAGACTTCCTATCAGAAGCGCTGGTTCGTACTGAAAGGAAACCTTCTCTTCTACAAGGAAAAGCCAGCAGACCGGGACCTAATTGGGGTCATTGTTCTGGAGGGCTGCACTGTCCAGCTCTGTGAGTCTGATGAACAGTTTGCCTTCTCTCTGGTGTGGAGTGAACCAGGACTAAGAACATACAAATTTGCTGCTGAGGACCAGGAGAGCCTGGAGGACTGGATCAAGACCCTTCTGTCTGCCAATCACCAGTACCTGGCTCTGCTGCTCAGTGACATGGAGCAAGCCTACAGAGGTTAGAATCCCAGTGTTTTACAGAAGGGGAAGAGAGACATCTTTGTTCAGCAGGGCAACTGTCAGCGACATTGTGCTGCATCAGCTGCCCGCAACATCATGGTACAGGTGCTGACTATCATTATAGTTTGTAATGGGGTCAGGGTGCTCACAGGGTGTGGAGGAGACAAGAGAAACAATATGTGCTTTACATTAGAGGAGCATGGGTTTATCTACAATGAATAATAACTGCTAGTTTTCACAAATAAATATTGCTGTTACAGTTATACAGTATTCTTGTATGTATATTATAGTTAAAAACATATGTTATACCTGGAAAAGTAACTATTTTATGCTATAATTATTATTTTACATTTCATAATTTAAAAAAAAACATCTTTATAATAACATAATTCATATACTAGTACATATATTCTAAAATTATATTATCAACGGACCCTTAGGCATAAGATAGAGGTTGAGCTATGATAATGTATTTAATGTCCATTTGTCAGCTTGAAAGACTAGGGTTTGTCACTGGAATTACATTTCTTGTTTTATCATGATTTCATTTGTGTAGTACAGTTGGCCCAGTGACCATTGTTATTTCATTGTACATCATCTTTTTTTCTCTCTCTTTCTTAGAAGCATTAGGAGGACCCCCCATAGAGCCAACCAAAACCAACCCTTTTGTCATGCCATACTTTCCTATTTCTGAAGCAGGACATGCCTCCACCTCTTCCTTATTACGCCACTCGTCTTCACAGCCGACCATTGCATCTTCCAGCTCTGCAGCAGGACCTGCATTAGGACCTTGTCTCAGGGCCGGTCCAGTGGCTGGTCCAATGCTTCAGCCATCTGCAGCCATTTCAACAAAACCCACACTTAAAAAATCCCCCAAGCTATGGCCCAAGAAAGCCACCAATGCTGTGAATACTCAGCCGTCCTCCATGTTTTTTGGCGACTTTGCTGGAATCACATTAGATCCACAGGATGAGTTTGTGAAAATGCATGAAGAATTTGGAAAGGAAATCAAAAAACTTATTTCACATTGGGCAAAAAGAAGACCAGATGGACAAGAGGACCTGATAGACTTTGGCTGATAACTGTTATTACGTGTTTAAACCAAAATGTAAAGTACAATGACCAAAACTAGAATTTATTACCGTATGTGAGAGTATTTACGTTGGTTGATATCTTGTGCTTTAGGCTAAAGGCCAAGTTTAAAATACATTTTATTGTCTTATTCATCTTCAACTGTTTTAAAGTATATATTTAATTATTGTCAACGTAATTAATTATAGATGCAAATTACATCTTTTTAAAAATGTATTTGTGTAAAAAAATAATAAAATAAAAGTTGGAACATTTGCCAAAAACTGACACATTTTTGTTTGGGACTGAATGGTTGAGGAAGAGAATGGTGGGGCATGGCAAAGCTATTTTTATCTCTACAGCTGTCTTGTTTTTACGGTCTTTAACAGAGCTTGGCGTGCAAGTCTCTCTCTCTTTTCTCCTTCAAGCCCATAATTGACGTGTGTTCTTCTTCTCACAGCCCCCTTCACATCAATTACAGTTATTTACATCATATTGCCACATAAAATTTCTCATTTCATATTGGCTTTACATGCTGTTGTACACAGAGAAAGAAGACATGTAGTATCTGTGCTCTGCATGCTAGCACCTGATACATAGGCAGAGAAGTTACATGATTGATGGCAGCCTATGGGGTTCATATATGGAGGTTAGTGGGTGGGCCAACTGCTATACTGGGACACTTCAGGGGCAACCAAAATTAGTGCATTCAATTGAAAACTTGGAGATTCAGTCTAGCCAGTTTGTTTTCAGCTTTTTGTTTGTATAAAATCAAATCACAATGGAAGCCTACCACTAAATTAAAATACTGGCAAACATGCATTACAATATCTGTCTATATATAAATTATTATCCAATAGAAAATTATATGTGTTCTAATAAGACATCAGATATAATGCTCTTGATGTCGATCTTAATCGCCCAGTCAGTGTTCTTAGAGGCTTGATAATCTTAGTAGTCATTACTGGAACTGAACCAGATTGGCGCTGCCGGTGGTTTTCAGGTTTCATTGCTGTTTATACTATACTGTTGGCACTGGTGATTTTATTTTGGACACTGATCCTATCATTTGTCAGGTGGTGACTTCAGGAAATGTTAATGGTGAGTATATCTTGGCACCTTAACTTATAGTAGACAATTAAAATAAAGCATCTGGCACATTGTAACATAAGCAGACTGGTTATAGGACACAAATTAATTGGTAATGAACAGCTGACTTATTCATAGAATTTGATGTAGTCTGATTGTCATTTAGCAGCTGAAAGAACTAAAATCACCTTAAAAAAGACAAGAGGCCATTCCTGTTTCTTTACCCATATTAGTCTATAGATGACACCAAAGTCAGCCAGTCACTGTTGGCATTGAATTCACCTCATTCCAAGACTTGTGCGACCTATTTTGGCTCTATGTGAAAGATGATCTGTCCCCGCCACCTCCTTGCTCCACCCTCTTTCTCTTACTTTCCTCCCAGCTCTTGTTTTCCAGCCAAACCTGATGGTGTGGCTATAGTTAGTCCCCCATGGGCTGGTATATAAGGCCCCAAGGGTACACCTCTTACATGTCAGTCACATCGGCTTGGCGTAGGCTTCTCTTCTTGACCAACAACCCCAGAAACTTGAGAGATGGTGAGTGTGGTGGACACGTTCCATGGATCCGATCAGTCTCTAGGGAGTAGGAGCTTGTCTGCACCATGTGCTTTTGCCAGAGCATCACTGAGAATTTACTATCTGGAATAACAACATCCAAGCAAGACACTTCTGGAAACTTAAATTGCTGGATTTTATTCAGTCTGAGTTTGACTTTTTAACTGGAAAACATTTTAAAATGTATCTGAAACCATAACAAAACCATTGTGGGGCTTGGTGTAATTCATCAGTAACACCCCATTAGACTATGTAGAAAAAAACCCAAAAACATTTAATTGGAATATGAATTCTTATGTCATGTGTGTACTGCGTAAATATGTGTACACAAGGTGTACACTATGTGTATGTTAGTTAGGCAGAGTTGTCCATTTCATGCCTTTAGTTTAGAATGTGATTTTTGGTCTGCTAAATTTGAAACTTTGCATTTGTAGTTTTATATTTTTAATAATTGTGGTGTTATGTGTTAAAATGTGCTTAGTCTGTATTTTATAATTTTCTTCTCAGGCACCCAAGAAGGCCAAGAGGAGGCAGCAGCAGGGTGAGGGTGGATCCTCCAATGTGTTCTCCATGTTTGAGCAGAGCCAGATTCAGGAGTACAAGGAGGTAAAAATCTTTTCACTTAACAAATTTAACAAAAGTAAATACAGAGGCACAAATCTGTCTAGGACATGTTGTGGTGCTCATATAACTGATGACGCCTTGTATTATTTGACCTTTGGGGAAATGTGAGGATGTACAGGGCATAGCTGTAAATTTGAGCTATGTTTGTGACAGCAGCTAGTGCTTTTTCAGGGATAGGTCAGAAATCTTCCTTGGAGACTGAGAACTCTCCTATTGGTGACCCTATAGGAATGTTAGCCAACAGCTGTGGTACTCTTACATCTATCATAACAGGAAACAAGGTCTTAAAGTACAAGGAAAGAACAATGACTTAATTTGAATTTACAAGAACGACAGGTGGGATGTCAAGTGAAAAAATATTGACTTTATCCTAATATGGTAGAGACAGGATTTTGCACAATGGAAATATAATCAATTGCAGATAACTAGACAGGATTCTTGATAATTACATTGGCAAATTAGAGGTCATTAGAAGAACATTATTACCACCATCAAACAGCTTGGGTCACATGGCATAAAAGGGGCAGGGGCTGACAGCTGTAATCAATGCGGTCTCCTTAAATGTCACACGGGGCTTGTCTCAGATTCCGAGACCATTTTAACACCTTAGAAAGACAAGTGGGCGACCAGCTGCCAAGCCCCAAAAGGTTTGCTGTGCCATCTTTAGTTTCACAGCCTGCTATGTGAAAAGAGAAGGGGACAAGAACTTCAAATTTACACAGTGATCAACACACATAAATAATTATTTTAACAAAGACTAGCAAGTTTAGCAGGGATTTCAATTTGCCTTTTAATTAGTTGCATTTCACTTCACAGCTTTAGACTTTACTTGAGTATAGCATATGACTCTCTAATTTCTGACTTAACACCCAATATCTGTCTACCCAATGCAGGCTTTCACAATCATTGACCAGAACAGAGATGGCATCATCAGCAAAGACGACCTCAGGGACGTGCTGGCCACCATGGGACAGCTGAACGTGAAGAATGAGGAGCTGGAGGCCATGGTGAAGGAAGCTAGCGGCCCCATCAACTTCACTGTCTTCCTGACCATGTTCGGAGAGAAGCTGAAGGGTACATTACAACACTTGTAAATGTATGTCATGTTTTGTTATTTTGTTATGTACTTGAATTAAATGAAATGCTTTGATCCCTAGGTGCTGATCCCGAGGACGTTATTGTGAGCGCTTTCAAGGTCCTGGACCCTGAGGCCACTGGTTTCATCAAGAAGGAATTGTAAGACTTTTTTGTTTGTTTGTTTTTGTTTTTAGATCTGCCTGTGCCACTAACTACTCACATCACTCTCACACAGGCAATTCACAAGCATTCACACTCACATACATGTCAGACACATATATTTCTATATCTGTGTCTGACATATGTGTCTGTATATATGTCTATAATTTCTAATCATATTACATTTTATTCAATTATATTCATTATTTGTCTCCAGCCTTGAGGAGCTCCTGACCACCCAGTGCGACAGGTTCACCCCTGAGGAGGTAAGCACATTATCATTTTGAAATCACTCCTCTTTATATTGCACACGTTTTGAGGTTTTAATCCTTAATCCCAATCTATGATCTGTCCAGATGACCAACCTGTGGGCTGCTTTCCCCCCTGATGTGGCTGGCAATGTGGACTACAAGAACATCTGCTATGTCATCACACACGGAGAGGAGAAGGAGGAGTAAAAACCCACCTCTCTCAAGAAGACCACTACCTCCGTCTGAAGCTACCCTGGCCCCTTGACCACCCATCTATGCTCTCTCCTCTTCTCTCCAAAACGCCGTGGCTGCCTCGCACACGCTCACAACCCAGCCCCGCTCTTTCCACTTTCCCAGCTCACTACAGAAAGGACTTGTCTCTGTCATGGAGATGCTCAGTGAGAGGACTGAAAAAGGCTGTGGGGGTGTTTGTGTGTGAGTACCAACGGGGGAAAAAACATGGGATTATTTTCAAATAAAATAATCTTGTGACACTGAAACTCTCTCTCTATCTCTTTCCCTGCTTCTTGTCGCTCCTCCTTCTCATTCTGTTCAGGCGGGCTGGAGCAAACAGTGCATGCCTCATACCTACATATTTATTTTGTATGCATATCAGTCCAGTGTGTACAGCGGTCAGTCCCTTGGGTGCTGTGGCGCATGCACAGACTCTTGCTTGAAACAAGTGAGTGGTCTGACTTAGCTGGTCTGTTAGTTTCAACCTCACCAACAGAGTGGATAATGGAGTTTTGTTATGTTTTTATACTGGTCGTATGAAGTATTATGGTGCACACAGTAAAAGACTTGGGGTATTGTACTAAAATAGGCTGCCTACCCCTTTCTTTTAATGTCCCTTGATGTCCCTACAGAGGAAAGGCAATTAGAGAAAAGCATGATGTATAGTTGTGTAAGTGAAAGAGATGGTGAAAGATGGTGAGGAGGAGGAAGGATTTGAGAGCAAGGCAAAAGTAAAAAGTCTTTGTTTTGGGTCTCTCCTTCCTCTGCCTGGCCGCTGTTTCTCTCCTGTCGATGTGACTGTCTGTGACTACACTGTAACAAATAAAGAACGTACAAATAAAAGACACTATCTTTTCGTAAAATGCTGTGTCTGTTGGTTTAAGTGGGACTGGGTTGAAACTGTAGACGCTATATTGAAGCACTGCTCTTGCTTGAGGCATTGCATGGGGACAGCAATGACTGCGCACTGACTGGAATATGCATATAGTTAACTTAGGTGTTTATAAGACAATCATTCATCAGTAAATATCCTTGCTTATATAAAATATAAATAATTGAATTAATGAAAAAGTAAAAAGAAATTACATTTACAAAATTCTGATCACAAGAAACAAAAACTGGTTTTCTCACTTCT